AACACTTATTGCACCGGAAACTGTTGTCTATTGTTGAGGCCCCCTGCGTTTGCTGTTCGATTCACTACAAACCAGAAATGAACCAGATCTGGAGACCGATTCTCTGACCCTTAAACCCTAAACTCTAAAAGCAAGAGAAAACTCCCAATGGGTGGGACGGTATTCCGAAGACTCTGGCGTCCTTCTGGGTTTATTGCAAAGTCCCTCATCATCTGAGACTGTATGTGTGTGTATGCATGTATGTAAGTGCACATAGTTTTAACGGCACATATGCCGTTTGCTGCTGGCCCACTTCTGATGTTAGGGTCTCGTGAGGCTCCGCAGGAAGCAATGGGACCATTCAACACGAGCAGACTCATGGGTGAGTTGGTTTGTGATTTCTCTGCAGGCAGACACACCCAGTGTGCTTATTTGCTGTGCGTATTTCCTCTTTTAGAGGAACTTGTTGGGGCATGTTCGTGACATACACTTCCCCAAGATTCACATTTGCAGGTATAGCTGCCACCTTTGTGTTGGCTCTCCCTCGGCATCCGCAGAAGGCGCACCCGCTTGCGGCCACTGTGTTCTATAACGGGAAACTTTGGGCTACTACTTTACGGCTGTGCATTAGCCTTGGGCCCATATAGTATGACCTATCCTATACTATACTAGACTAGACTATACACTATACTGTACTAGACGATGCCAAAATACTAAACGTATCTATAGCAAAAAATCACATGGAATATTATACTTTACTATGCTATAGGCTACTATACAATATCATCATATTGTATAGTGTACTATACTAGAGTATTCTATAGTCTGCTATAATATACTACAATATGCTGTTAAATTCGCGAATTAAAGCACTGCGCTCATATACTGTAGGCTGGCCCCTTGAAGCCTTTCCAAAAGCCTTTGTAAATAAGACCCTCCGAAGCTCACTGGAGGAAAAATATGGGAGTTTCCGGAAGTTAGGTGTACTGTAATTTGGAGTCCTTATAACAAGGATCCTACGCTTAGGGTGCTGTATAAGGGTCCCGTATTGTCGGAAAGTCCCATATCAAATGTCCAAATGTCCCAAAGACCTACCTTGTACCCAGTTACTCATGTCGATTAAGCATTGTATCCAGCACCTAAACCCTAGACTCTAGGCATACATGTCCATATCCGTGCGAATCTGCACTATACTATATTATACACTACAATACTAGGTATACTATTATAAGGTAACATATCATCTGATATACGATACATCACTATACTATACTGTAACCATGCCTATGCGAATTCGGGTAACATATTATATGCGATACTTAACTCTACTACAATGTAACCATGTGTATGCGAATGCCTCATAAAGAGAGCCGGAAGATGTTGCTTGGGACATGGGCTCGTCCCGGGCCAGATCGAGGTCTCAGCGCGGATGATCAGCGCTTTAGGGGGTTGGGGGCTTAGGGCTTCGGGAGTTCAGGGTTCAAGGCCTTCGGATTAAGGCTTTTCTAACCAGTGGTTTTGGGGTTCCCTTGGCTCTTTAGCTCCTTATTTGATAGGAATTATCATGATCCCTGGCTCCTTAGCTCCCCCAATATCAATGGTTAGTTATCTAGACCCCCCCAAAAGTAGGTAAAATCATGGCACAAAACCTATAAATGGCGATTAATCTACATACTTTTGGGGTCCAGGTAGGGATTTAGAGTTTAGGCGTATAAGGTTTAGGAAGTTTGGGGGTTTTGGGGAGTTTAGGGTTCAAGGTTTGTTGACTTGGGGGCTTGAACCCGTATATAAAAATACAACGTGCCAGAGATCCCAATACGCCTTAATTGAGGAGTATACCTTAAATCATAATGTTAAGCCTCCAATTATTTAAGACATATCCCTGAATTAAGAAAAAATATTGGGTTCTCGGGGGTGTTGCCTCTCTACCTGGCCGGGACCACAGCTCCCCGGGCCTTTTTTCGTCGACGGCGGCGGCCAAAGACGTTGGTGAAGCGACTCCAGAACCAGTGCCAAGGATTCCTCGGATTAGGGTTTAGGGTTTAGGGTTTAGGGGTTTAGGGGTTTAGGGGTTTAGGGGTTTAGGGGTTTAGGGGTTTAGGGTTTAGGGGTTTAGGGTTCAGCAGCTCTGACTTTGAAGATTTCACGTCAAGCTTATTTTAGTCAAGCTATCTTCAAGAAGAAACCCCACCCGCCCAGAGAATCCCCTCACATTAGAATTAAAAGTTTTATTTCTTTTGGCATGAATTATTAAATAATAACTTACATACAACTCCAAGAATTTTCATACGGTTCGCCCTAGTTCCCAAACCCTAGGCCCTAAACCCTAATGCCCAAACCAACCCTAGTGCCCAAACCCTAGGCCCTAAACCCTAGGGCCCAAACCCTAGGCCCTAAACCCTAGTGCCCAAACCCTAGGCCCTAAACCCTACGGCCCAAACCCCAGGCCCTAAACCCTCGGCCCTAAACGCTACAGCCTAAAACTTAAGGCCCAAACCCTAGGCCCTAAACCCTAGGTCCCAAGCCCTTATAAGCCCTAAACCCTAGCGCCCAAACCCTAGACCCTAAACCCTAGCGCCCAAACCCTAGCCCTAAACCCTAGTGCCCAAACCCTAGGCGCTAAAGAATAGGGCCGAAACCCTAGGCCTAAACCCGAGTGCCCAAACCCTGGGCCCTAAACCCTACGGCCCAAACCCCAACCCTAAACCCTAGGCCCTAAACGCTACAGCCTACCCTCTAGGTCCCAAGCCCTAGGCCCTAAACCCTAGCGCCCAAACCCTAAGACCCCAGCCCTAAACCCTAGCGCTCAATTTTAGGCCCTAAACCCTAGTGCCCAAACCCTAGGCCCTAAACCCTAAACCCGAGGCCGCTAAACACTGGGAAAAAATCAAAAGCCACGAGTTTTGATCAATCGCCACGAGTTTTGATCAATCGCCACGAGTTTTAATCAATCGCCACGAGTTTTAATCAATTCGCCACGAGTTTTGATCAATCGCCACGAGTTTTGATCAATCGCCACGAGTTTTGATCAATTCGCCACGAGTTTTGATCAATCGCCACGAGTTTTGATCAATCGCCACGAGTTTTGATCAATCGCCACGAGTTTTGATCAATCGCCACGAGTTTTGATCAATCGCCACGAGTTTTGATCAATCGCCACGAGTTTTGATCAATTCGCCACGAGTTTTGATCAAAAGCCACGAAGTCATTAGGGTTTAAATTACTATAGGTAGAGAGGTTTAGGGGTTTAGGGGTTTAGGGTTTAGGGACCAGTGCCAGGGATTCCTCGGATTGGGGGTTCCTTTAAAGGGATCTATAAGGGCTCTATAGGGTTCCTTTAAGGGGTCTATATAGGGTTTAGGGTTTAGGGGTTCCTTAAAGGGATCTCTATGGGATCTATGTGGGTGGTTCTCAAAATTATGGTCCCTTTTTGGGTCCCTATTATAATATGGCACCTAATAGTTAGGGTACCGTGTAAAGGTTTAGGGTTTAGGGTTTAGAGCTTAGGGTTTAGGGCCGGCTGAGGGTTATGAAGGCCCTACTGATTGATGGTATATTCCTTAATCAAGGGGTATAGGGCTTAACCGATGTTTCTCGGGCGTTATGTAGTGTTTATGGTTTAGGGCTTGTTATAGGCTTTCTTTCGCCTTTTTTAGGAGTTGAAGGCTGTATAAGGGTTTATAGTTTCGGGCTTGGAGTTTAGGGTTTAGGGTTCAGGGATATAGGGCTTACCCAGAAGATTAGCTTAAATCAAAAATATGAAGCCCCTACTGATTTAAGGTATGTCCCTTAAGTAAGGGGTATTGGGCTGTCTGGCTGTGTACGGCTTAACCGATTCTATCGGGCGTTAGTGTTTAGGGTTGAGGGCTTGTTACAGGCTTCTGTTTGTTTTTTATTGGTATTGTAGGGTTTTATAAATGCTTAGGGCTTGCGGCTTAAGTCTGGTCTCCATCCAATGTACTTCCTGCAGGTTCTCTGAGGCTACTTAAAGGCTCATGGGACTTAGTAAGTATAAGGTTATAAGTAGGTTATAATTAGGATAACCCCACTTAGGGGACTTATAACCCCAATTATAACCCACTTACTAAGTCCCATGATCCTTCAAGTAGAGTAGGGTTTTGGGTTTTGGGGAGATCGTTGTCGTCAGAAGGCTATGGAAGGCCTGGTCCCTAAACCGAAGGAATCGGGTTGAAGGCTTCGGACATTTATGAGCCTCGGCCGTCCCTTTGTTACTATCCTCAAAGGGGAAAAGGAGGGACCCTTAATGGGGACCCCTACCCTATAAGGGGCTTTATAATGGGGTATATAGTGGCAATATTACGGGTATATACCTAGGGGTCCTGATTAAGGGTCCCTCCTTTTACCCTTGGATATCCTTGAGGGCTTTAGGGTGTAGGTGTAGGGTCCTTTCGGCTTAGGGGCTCGGAGAACCTCTGAACCGCAGGAACCTGCGGAGCCCCGAAAACACTACCTACTTGGCCTACTTAGGGTTTAGGGTTTAGGGGTTTAGGGTTTAGGGGTTAGGGTTTAGGGTATCATGGGGAACTAAAGGTCACCGTTTTGGGATATTATAGGGATTCTATAGGGACTATACTACCCAAAGAAGGTTTCAGGTTACCTACTCTACTACTCGGACTAGGAATTCTGGCTGAAAGTTCAGGGTCTAGGGGTCGCCCCAACGCGCCCTCTCACGACTGTCACAGCAGCGCCACAGAGAACACCTTTGCCCTCTAAGAGTCCAAACCGTAAACTAAACACTACACCCCAAACCTTGGGCCCTCAACCGTAAACCCAAAAGCTCAAACGACCTAAACCCCGAAACCATAAACCCACCGGGACTTCGGCACCAACTCAGAAATGCAAAAAAAAGAAAGCGCAATCAACACATAATGATCGACGTAAGTAGTTCTCTCAATTAGGTTCGGTCCATGGTTAAGTCCACAAAAAAGTACGGCACCCTTACCAAAAAAAGGGAGCATGAATAAGACTTTGGATGGTGAGTTGGCCAACGCGGAAGGCACTCAGCTGAGTGAGAGGCGTGGCCAAAAACATCGGCCATGCGTCCAGTAAGGGCCGACTATAAATCCGCCAATCAAACGTGCGGCTGCATTGAACGTCCTCCAATCTGCCGCTGTGGAGACGAACATCATCAGCCGCTCCTCCGCATCTGAGACCACTTGTGGCGCCAGCAGGGCTTCCTTTGCAACAGCCACAGCTTGAGAGGCTGACTCCGTGGCTCTCAGCGTTCGTCTTCTTCGCCGTGGTCCGATCTTGACGACGGCGATAATGCTGCTTCCGTCGCAGGTCCCGTGCCGCCGAATCAGCACTTCCAGTCGCGAACTGCTTCCGCGTGGGCACACGAGGGTGCAAGAAGACCCAGAAGTGTCAGACGAAGAAGTGGCCATAGCATTGAACTGCATGGAAGAGTGCGAGATTTACAATCCGGACGGAACGGCGAGTCCTGACTCGTTTGCGGACCCTAGTTTTGAGAACTACCGATGTGACAGCAGAAGTTGCACCCCCACAAAGCTGTTGAACCGTTTACGCACCTGCATGAAGCCATGGTAGACCCCATGATACTCCATATTCCCGTGCAGCCCCCATATACCTATATACTATAACCCCACGGGTCCAAATGTAGTACCAAAAGAAGATTTCGGTGCCAAAGGAACACCCTATGTAGCCCAGGACCGTGTTGAAAACCCGAAACGACGGTTAAGACGCTTCGTTCGGAAACCTCCCTCTTCTAATCGAATTGTTAACCAATCTGACGAAACTGAAACCTGTTCCCCTCAGGTATGCGATTGTTATGAATGTTTGTATATTTCATGTTTACCGATGGTATGATTATGGGATTGACTCTGACTATGAGTACGTATATGGCTATGACTCTGACTATGACGCTTATTGCCAATACTCTTGTTGATACCGCTGCTTCTGCTGCCAGCACCTTCACTATGCCATAGCAGCCCTAAAAAACTTTAACCAGAAGCTTTTGCAATACTTCGTATACTTCTTATGACCCTGTACGCTGAGGTCCAAGTAGTTCTTATTTAGTTATGATTTTAAGTGCCCTTAAGTTCCTTAAGTCATATTCGGAATCCTACAATAATTCCAAGTATATTCGTCTCTGCTTGGAGGGTCTGGGGGACTTAGTATCTGGTTATTTTAGGGACTTATAAGTACCATAACCCCAATTAGGGTCCCTTTTAGGGTACTTATAAGTCTGCTTTCTAGCTACTTGCTAAGTCCCCCGACCCTCCAAGTAGCTTTGAGATCTGAGCGGCGTCTCTCCCTGGCTTGACCCCTGGTCCATCACGGGACTATCGCCATCCTCGGGGGCCGGCTGTCTTTTTTGAACGAAGGGCCGTTTCAAAAACTGCACTTTCGGTGCGTTTTTGTTTACTAAGGGCCGTTTTAAAGCTGCACTTTCGGTGCGTTTTCGACTGAGGGCCGTTATAACTGCACTTTCGGGGCGTTTCAGGGTTTGGGGTTAGAGGGGGCTTACGGTTTCGGCGGCTCTGGGCGTCAAGGGCTGGAGGGTTAACTACTTTGGGGCCTTTGGGTTGTTATTTAGGTCCGAAAATTAGAGCTTTCGCTGAGTCGCTTCTAGGGTTTCAGCGCGCTCTGTAAAGCCATCCAGCACTTAGGGTTTAGGGTTTTGGGTTTTGGCTGAAATCTTCCGGTCAAAACCCGAGTGCTTTCCCCTGCAGACAGAAGTTAGGGCTTAGGGTTTAGAGTAGAAGCCCAGCAAGTTTAGAGTCGTCCCGTTGCCGTAATATAGGGGCCTCAATAATCAGAATAGGGATTTGGAGCCATGTATGCTACAATTATAATAAGGATCCCCAAACTAGCATATAGGTAAGTATTATGGCCGCTAGAGTGCACCCCAACCCCTTGAACTGTGACCCAGAGAACCCAATGCCCCTTAATTAAGGAACTTACCTTAAATCCTAAACCCTAAACCCTAAACCCTTAACCCTAAACCCTAAACCCTCAACGCTAAACCCTTAACCAGGCTGCCCGAGCCCCTGTCTGACAATCCACAAGATAAGAGCTGTTCAGTTGGGAGGGCTCGCACATGTATTGACGTGCTAGGGTTTAGTTTAGGGTATAGGGTATAGGTATAGGGTTTAGGGTTTAGGGTTTAGGGTTTAGGGTTTAGGGTTTAGGGTTTAGGGCTGTGACTGGCTTGTCTACTACGTTTGTATTACTGGAGAGCACCAAGAGCATGTTACCACTTAAGGACCCTGACACCTATATTACTTAAGTTACTCCGATCCTATACCTAGACGCTCATTTGCAGCACCCTATTTTGGATGAGTTATTATTATTATATGGTTAGGGGCCTATTATACTTAACTGAGGTAACAGAAAAATGCTACATTTAACGGTCTAAAGTCTAGGTATTGGGACACTCGGACACGTGAGACCGACAACAGACGAGGCCCTGCCTCCAAGCACGAGTAAGCCCTGCAACAATCTGGGGTCAGAGCTCCCAAACCACAAAACCCAAACCCAAAGTCCTAAACCCTAACACCTAAGGACCTAAGGCCTAATCCGTTAAACTAAAACCCTACACCCAGCTGCATCCTTTGGAAATATCGGTTTGGGTCGGTGTCCTGGGAGAAGGGATGTGGTTCAGTTAGGGTTACTCTCTACCCTACAGTAAGAGATATGATATGGTATAGGTTTACGATAAGGGCATGAGGGTCACGATGCTCAAACCAGCCTCAGGGTTGATGTGGACCCCCAAATTAAGCACACCTGCCTGTTAGACCAGCCGAGGGCAAAGTGAGCGCCTACACCCTGTACACCAACACCCTGCAACCTAACTAAACTCTAAATCCCTCAAGCCGTACAGAAGCCGTTTGAGACTACTTCAGTTAAGATTAAGAAAGCAGAGTTGTGTCCATCGGCCGTATCTCCCACAAGAATCATACGCCAGGCTGTGAGAACCTGTTCCAATCCCTGCCCTTCAATACCGAGTAGCAGGTTTGGTTTAAGGTTTTAGGAACCCTAAACCCTAAAACCCGGTAAAGCCTAAACCCCGAAAGCCTACACCCATAAGGATGACTCACCTTCCAAGTTATACGGATGCACCAGAACGATTTCAAGTGCCTTATCTCCTGCATACACTCATGGTGCCGGCGCCTCATCTTCAATCTCATAGGTCCAGAGATCCGACATAGTGTCCAGGTCATTGAGCGCCGACACGATGCACCTGAACGCTTGACTTACCTTTGGTTGACCCAAAGGCCCCAAAGTAGTTCCTTTTTTGGGTTCATATATAGAATCCTATAGGGTACTCCCAAAAAAGGAACTACTTTGGGGCCTCTGGGTAATCCACTAAAACCATGTACTGGGAGGCCTGCGGCTGGGCACTCAAGACTTTCCGCCCTCAAAGGGGCTCTTGTTAAGGGGTTTAATTTTAAGTTTAATTTAAAGCTACCATTATAAGGATCTATAGTAGATAATATGGTTTCCTTATTATGGTAACTTAAATTGAACCCCTTAACAAGAACCCAGCCTCTACCCACAGACCGCACCACCACTAGCAATAAGACTACCAGCCCCACAGACAAAGCTGCCGATAAGATGATGACCACCGCAATGCCCGACCATCACCGGTACTACCGCCAGTACCACCACTACCGCCGCCACCAGCACTACCCCATCACCGCCACTAGTACCACGATGTCACGGAACCTGCACTGCCAGAAGCACCAGCAGCACCGGAAACACCAGCAGCACCAGCGCATCATCAGCAGCAGCCCGAACCGAAACATCCAATTTTCCCCGTGTCTGCAAATCTGCAGCCGGCGAGCTGGGCCAAAAAGATCGCCTGTTGATGCGTCTCCTGTAAGCAGGCCGCAGGACTTGCATCATTGGGGTCTTACCCAGAGGCCCCAAAGTAGTTCCTTTTTGGGAGTACCGTATAGGATTCTATATATATATATATATATATCTATATATATATACATATATATACATATATATATATATATACATATATATATATATATATATATGAACCCCCCAAAAGGAACTACTTTGGGGCCTCTGGGTAGGGTTTAGAGTTGTAGATGTTGCTGAGCGGGTTTGGTATATGGTCTAGATTCCTAGATCCGGGATGCTCATCATTTCGAAATCCGGGAAGCCTCCGTCTGGAGGGTTTCACAATATGAGAAGCCTCCATGTCGCACGGGGGCCGAAGGTGTTTACGATCAAAACCCTACGCAGTCGAATCGTCTGCTCCAGGAAATCTAACTCTACGGGCGAGTGGGGAAAATATGTGAAACGCAATGAATGGCATTTCATGTGCTGATTGCTGTTTCTTCCGCTGTTGATTTTGCTTCGCTACTGCTGCTGCTATTACTGCTGCGGTTGTGGTTGTGGCTGTGCAGTGGATGTGCATGTCCTAGAGCTTGTGGTGGTGGTTGTTACCTATGGTTGTCAATGTTGCTTGATGTTTTTTCACAGGTTGTTCGCGCCTGGTAGTCCTGTCGTTGTTGTTGTCGTTGTTGTTGGTGGTGGTGGTAGCAGTGGTGTGATATGCCGTTGGCCGTTAAATTGGAGGTGGTTGTGGTGCTAGTATTTAGTCGTCGTAGTCATCTTTGCGGCTGCTGCCGCTGTTGTTGATGACGGTGGTGCCTTCGGAGGTGTTAGTCGTTGTTTCTGGTGCTGTTGCTTTTGTTATGTGGTTAGCCGTGTCGCCGCCGTTGTTGCGCTTTTGGAGGTGGTTGGGATGGTATTGGTACATACTAGTCGCTGTTGTTGCTGCCGGAGCACAGTCGCAGTCGTGGTCGTCGTGGAAGACTTAGCAGCAGTAAGAGTTTATGTCGTTGCTAGTGGTGGTGGTGATAGTGTTGTTGTGGTGGTGACGATGGTGGTGGTTGCACTGACGGCCTTTAGGACAGAGTCGTCCTACAAAACTAAGGCCCTTCTCGGGGCACCGGCTCGCCTACACCTTTGGTTGAGGCGGGTTTAGGATTTAGTGCAGATTGAAGCCAGGTCTGCTCCGCTGCTGCAGATGACCATGGCAGCATCAAGAGGGAACACAGCAAACGCGCGCACACACAAAACGGAAACAACATGGAAAAACAAGAAAGGGCGAATGAAGGTTTACATACTGGGAAATGCCCAGCCGGGGGGTGCCTGTGCGACACGCCCCTGCTCTTAATGCCTCAGGATGTGTTTCCGTGTCCTGCAGCTCACTGACACACCGGCAGAAGGCGTCGATGTCGATAGCCACCAGTCCTTGGAGAAGAATCACTGCAAGAAACCCGAAACCTGCACCCTGTAAGCCTGGAATCCTGAACGATACATGGGTGGTTATCAAAAAAAAAGTCGCTTTTGGATCCCTATTATAAAACGGCACTGATTATTTGGGTTACTCAAAAAGGGACCCTAATTTTGACAACAACCCACATGCAAAAGCCTGTACAACCTCCGAACATCTTATGCCGACACCATCCTGTGCTTTGGGCTTACAGTCAACATTGCCGCCTGCACCCACTTCTCCAAGCACTAGCTGTACGGAAGAGTACTGAAGTAATCCCCAAGACCCGAAGCCGTGAGCCCAAAACGTGCAGTATCGCACCGAGTGTCCCGTCATGTCAGTGGAGACCAGGTCGCCTATATGTACCCAAGGTGTCCACAGAGCAACCTCCAAGCAGATCTAATTGGGGGTTTCCGAAAATGGGGAACCCAACTGTAGTACCCGAATAGTAGGATCCTTACTATAAGGACCCCAAAATGAGGTCCCCCTACTTTTCGGAAGATCCCAATTTAATGGATTCGGGGGTGTTGCGGGGTTTGTTTCTTGTTCACTTTAAGGGGCTCCTCTCGCCCACTCACTCCTGTCAGAAAGGCATGTTGCTTCCCGCTGAAGAGCCCGAAGTACCAACCCAGTGATCCCAATACACCTTAACTAAGGAATATACCTTAAATCATAATCATAAGGCCCCTATGATTTAAGGTATATTCCTTGTTTCCCTTATAGAACCTTTATAGATCCCTTTAAGGAGCCCTTTAAGGAACCCTACGGTCTAGTCCTCAATTCAGGGGTATTGGGTTCTCTGGGTTCAGCTTTAGGTCTATGGGTACTCAGGGGAAGGCGATTGAAGCTATTCCGAAATAATATTATTTCAGGTATAATCCTGAATTACTGTTGATGATATAAATCCTGCATTACCTTAAGGACCCTAAACTACGGGAATTACGGTACATTCCTTCTTATGGGTCATGCAGGATTTATATGATCAACCGTAGGGGTATTGGGTTCCTTGTGGAATTTTGCAGACTTTTGGGGGCTTTGGTGTCTCCGGGCCCAGAGCAAGGAGATCGCCCCCGCATCTGGGACTGCATGTAGTAAGAGGGTAGTTGTCAAAATGAGATAACCTAAATAACCTAAATATCAAGTGCCGTATTATTATTTTAGGGACCCAAAAAGGGATCATAATTTTGACAACCGCCCAAGAGGATGGGGGCAGAACTGCAGAAGTCTAGTTTCAGGCTGCTGAAGACACTAGAAGTCTTGTGATTCGGCCTGTGGATTTGGAAAGCATTGATTTAAGTACCTCTGTATAGAACAGACGGAGCATGCTGAATACTACCAGTAACGAACCCCTAATCCCTAATCCATAAAAGGCACATGGCCTTAAATGGGCCTGAAACTCTCGGCACAGTTATACGCCCCAGTAATGAACGTGACGGGGATCGCTGCGAGTCCCCTCTTTGCTTCCTTGCAAAACTGAAGGGCTTAGGGTCCCAGCATTTAGAGTCTGGGGTTCATGGTTTAGTTCATGCTTCGTTTGTAGGGGGGGGCTGCATGAGGGTGGTGGCGGGGGTGCATCAAGCAGTGGCCCATGCTCGCCCGACACGGTAAGAGTGTGTCACCGCCCTATTCGTGGCACAGGAAGCGGAGTAATGGTAGTCTTCTTTCGTCGACGCTTGCGTCGTCGCAGGCATTGTGGTAGTAGCAGCAGTTGCAGTCGTCACTGGAGCGGTTGGGTTGGGACCAAGACGGGACCACCAGAAGCACGAGCAGCATTAATGACGACAGGACTACTGCTGAGGTGAACCCTAAACCCTAAACTAAACCCTAAACGCCCTAAACCATGCATCGTCGAAAACTGCTGCTTCACTTCGGCTGTGCTTCGGCGGTCGACCCCAAGCCGTGGACATGCAACCTTAAAACCCCTGGAACTGATTTAAACCTTACCCATATGCCCCACAGTAGTTCCTTTTTGGGGTTCATGTTTAGACATCTATAAGGTAGTCCCTAAAAGGAACTACTGTGGGGCCTATGGGTATGGACATGAAGGGCAATGTCATAGATGAAGACAACTCGGACCCACGGTAAGTCAATGGGTCGCTAACTTGCGTTTAAATTGCGTTTAGGGGTGCTACTGCGTGTTCAGCATGGTTAACAAATTGAAGCGGCCTTGCTGTTGTCAATCTCAACATTGCTACTGCGAGGCGACAAAAGCGGTAGGGTCGATGCAAATACTGTTCTACAGATTCATTCAACAGCATATTATCTAGACCCCAAAAGTCCTAAAGTCTATATGCATGGGCGTCAACTAGGTTTGAGGGCTCGGGGATTCAAGAGCCATGGGCTTCTGAGATCAACTACTTCAGAGGCCTAGTACCACATGACTATAGGTGGGGACCTTGCGAATTAGAAAAAGGAAAGTTCGCTTAACCAGAAACCTAAACCCTAAACCCTCGTTTTCAAAGGGATCTATAATTATAGGAAGCCAGGTCTGGCCTCTGCAATCAAACTGTGAGTCTTTACGTCCACGTCTTCGACGTAATGAAAATAGCGCAAGTTCTCCTTGGCTGACTTCTGAACCCCTCCAAAAAGTTAAAATTTTAGCTTCCTTATTATGGTTCATATCGAAACCCAAAAAGTTAAAGTCCTAAGAGCCAACCTGAAGAATGCCAAGTCTCGTCCAGGGAGAAGAACGTAGTGTCTGCGACCGCTCCACGGTTGAACACCTCGATTCCGTTCCGGGTTTACTCAGAGGCCCCAAAATAGTTCCTTGTCCGGAGTACCCTATAGGATTCTATATATATATATATATATATATATATATATGTATGGGCCCCAGAAAGGAACTACTTTGGGGCCTGAGGGTAGGCATGCAATGCTTGTGGGAAGTAGGGCTTGAACGACTAGACCTTCAATCCTAGCCCTAAGCTGGTCTAACACCCGGCGCAACATATGACACCTGCTTCACATCTGTTAAGCCGCCCAAAATCCTAAACCCCAAAACCCTAAATCAAGAGTTAAAACTCTCGGCATCCACTTCCAGTCATAACGGGTATAGCCTTCGTACGTAAAGGGTTGGGTGCTTGACTGATGTCTTTGCGGTGCAGGATTTAAGGCTAAGAGTTTTGGGGTTGAGGTTTCACCGTTTCTTGGGGTTGCGCAGGGTTTAGGATAACAGCTGACACCAATTAGGGAATATCTATAAATATATTCGGAATACTGAACTCAGGTTCCCTCACTACGGATATTAATTATGGCACTCTACGTACACTTCCCGAGTGAAACGCATCATGTAGCATGCCCAGATATTAGACGATCAAGTAATAAGTAACGAGTATCTATCTATCCCTGCAGAAACTAGCCAACTCCAGGCCTCAGCCCTGCCAGCACTCTCTAATGCAGCTCCTTTTTGTCTCGCAAGCTCTAGGTTTTGATTTAGGGATTGAGGAAAACAAAGTAAACAAAAACACCTTAAACCCTAAACCTTAAACCGTGATCCAGCTAAGAACTGTTGCCACATATCAACCATGTAAAGGATCGAGAGCACCGCAGACATGCTAGTCTGCTAGTCCGACGCTGGAAGTTTAGGAGTTGAAGTTTAGGGCTTAGGGTGAGTGTAACTTGTGTCTGTAAACTTCAACGAAACCCTGAGGGTTCATGTACCCAAATAGTATACTTTGGCAATAGGGTAGCCCCTACATAGATACTTTGGGGGCCAAGTATATATTATTTAGGCACATAGACTTAGACCCTTAAAGTTTCAACGAAATGGATCATCAGAAGGATTTGCAGTTGGACTCTGTGACTCGATGTTGGCCTTCTCATGATGCTGGAAAAAAGCCAAACAGCAGCCTCCGCCAGAAAGCATGCAGTCAAAATATCAGCCCCGCACCCCCGAAGCGTCACTCTTGGGTTTATAGCCTTCAGCTGTTTCTCGATGAGTTCCAGGCGTTACGTTTGGTTTTGGCTTATCGTTCTGTCAGCTCAGTCAGGGGATTACCGGTTCCGGTCTGCCGGTTTGTGCATGCTGACTGCCGAACCAGGGCCAGGCGAGTGATTAGTTCGAAGTGAGTTCTGCCAGTACTTCGTTGCAACAGGCATCAGAAGACCCGACCCTTGACCCTAAACCCCAATAAAACTACTAATTTGCTGCGCAGGCGGCAATGTCATTCTGAGCCAGCTGCACTGTTGTCAGAGCCTCGCCACGAGGATCCACCGTCTCACCAGAAGTGCTGCTTCCTAAAGCCTAAAGCCTAAACGCTAAGTTCAACTAGCGTTAGGGTTTTGACCTGGATGCACCACCAGCACCTATGTTCGACCAGATCAAAGCCATACCAAAACCTGACAAAAACCCTGTTGCAAGCCCTGCTTGACTCTTAAAGTTGCAGAGGGCTCGAGCTTACTAGAAGAACCCTGATGCCTGGGCGTCTTCGGGTATAGGGTCTCAGGATTGTAGGGCTTGGAGCGTTTGAGGTTCCAGATTTGGGGATTACGGTTTTGGGCTTTGGAGTGTTGATCCATAGGGCCCATAGTAGTTCCTTTTTGGGGGGTCATATAATTAGAAGTGTATAAGGTAACCCCAACAAGGAACTACTATGGGGCCTATCGGTAGCTTCGGGATAGATGGTCAAAACTTGCAATGATGAGCTCTCAGCCCCTTCTGCTGACTTCCCCTGCCAAGAACACTTGACGTAAAAGCCTTCATGATGAAAGCAGAGTGTTGAAGGGTCTATTCTCGTATACCTAAAGGCACTTTTTTGTCAAGCCCCGATTAATACCCTCAAAACTAGGTCAGGTTACCTTCCCAGCTCCTGCTTGAAAGCTACGCTGACCAAAGCCTAATGCTTTATGATCCAAAAGGCCGCGCAATCCTGCTGTAGGCCACTTGGGCTCGCACAGGCTGGCAGAATCTGTTGATTCTCTCAAAATCCCATACAAAACCCCAGCAAAGCCCTATTTGCAGCCTTTATCCGACCCAAAAGCCCGATGAAAACCCTATGTAGATAAACACATCACGCCCCCAGTACAGCCGTAAGCCACCCAACAAACTGAAACCCGTGAGCGCTAGCGCTAGCCCCAAACCCCTGGACCCTAAACCCTTTTGCATCCATCCGGGGCAGCCTTGACGGCTAGCTTCTGCGCTACCTGAACCGGATTAGAGTCTTGATTAGATCTAGAGGGTTTCGTAACACAGGGGTCTGAAACATGGGGTTGCTGTTATAGGGTGGATAATTCGGAACAGGTTTTTAAGTATGCTCTGTTGAGGGTCTATGCCAGGGTGCGTCATTTTCTGGACCGCAAAGACTAGCCACACCTGCATGTTCGCACCCCGATAAATGAGCGTGCGATTCGACCATAAACCCCCATGCACCTCGTCGTAGTGGTTGCGGGAAATCACCGGAGATACAAGCACATAGAGTATAGGGTCACATTGCTCACATCTCCAAAATACATCCAACACACTCACCAAAGCCTTTAACCCTAAACCCTAGTGTGACAGCAAAACCCACATCCCGAAACCCCGACGAAAGTGCATGTTTAGCCTGCCGGTGCGGTTTCTCCAATATCCCAACTAAGGAATACTTATGGTTCCTTTAAGGGATCTATGGGGTTTCGGATTTAAGTGACTCCAATACCCCGTATTTAGGAAGGAATATACCTTAAATCACATTCAGGATCCGACTGTGATATAAGGTATATTCCTTAGTTCAGGGACATTGGAGTTGAGGCTCCAGGGAGGATCCGGAGGCTTTGGCTTCCCAGGCCAGGATCCAGACATTCTTTAGGAGTTTTAGGGCTTAGGGTTTAGGGATGTTTATGGTTTAATTCAAACTTTCGGTTTTGTTTTGAACCCATGTTCTCCCTAATCCTTCCATCGCTTAGAATACAAGATCTATGAGTGCAGGAAGTACCTGAGCGAATTGAACCAGGAAGGCTTCAGCCACACAAGATTTGGTTTGTGGGTTTTAGGCTCGATGCATTGGGAAAAGAGTTTTAACGATAAGAGCTGGATTTCGATGTGATGATGTTTTCATGTTTTCATATGGGTGCTACATTGACTAGGGACGGTTTTGGAGTATAGTATACGAAGCTGTTACTGTTATATCGAGACTATAGACCATAACGGGATAATGTTTCTGACTACTTCGACCTCTTTATTACCCTCACCGAAACGAGACAATCAGCGACTAGGCCACTGTCTCGGCTTGGTAAAGGACGTCGTCGTTCGTCAAGATTTTTCCTTGAAGGCACGGTGAGAACATCAATGCCGAACCCCCGGTAGGGTTCAGGGGTTTAGGGTTTAGGGCTCTGGTGTTTAAGGGTTTAGGGGTTACCTGAATTCCCATACCCCGACAACCCTCAACACCGTAAACTCCAAACCTTAATTATCCCCAAAACTAACATTCCAAAAACTCGAAAGCAGCAGCCGAACCCCACAACCCGCCTTTCCCCCAAACGCTCCAAAACATCTTGCAACGGTTTATAGAGGGTCTAGAGTTGCGATTTCGCATGTAGGGTTTAAGGTCTTGGTTTGGGGGATTCATATCGTTTGTTGGGGTAGCACAATGTCAGGGGTCTTGACATACTCAGCATCAGTGGGCTGGAGTCCGAAAGCAACTAAGTAACTAGATCAATCATAAACATCCTTGGTTCTTTGTGTGTTCTACATCTATATCCATGTATATGTATCCATACATACTGGAGAACCCAAAGTTCATAAGCTCAGAAGCCCGCAACCCACATACCTTAAACCTGGACCTGGAAACCCTTAACTGAACCCTAAACCCCTAAGCCGTCCTAAACGCGGAACCCCGTGAACACGCGGTCGCCATTAAGGCTTCGGGTTCGGACGTGCGCGTACCCCACGGAGAAGTATGCCGGCACGCGCTTCGAAATCTCCGCCAGGTCAACCTTGTAGAGCGGGGAGCATCTGCACGTCTTGCTGTCCGGATCGAACAAGGACTGGACCCACCCAGTCGGCCTCCACCACCTTGTGGAACATCCTGCGGATGCCACGACGAGGATCGGCTTTTGCGTCACGGCAGCTCGCTTCTTCATAGTGGGACGAAGCTCATCCTCGGAAGCTTCTTTGTGAACCTTTCTGGTAACAGCATTACCGAGCAGTTCAACTCGCTGCGAACATGAACAGTTGCGGGGGCGCTTGCCACTATGAGATGACTGCTGTGAGTACCCGGAGGTTTTCTCAAAACATCCTGCAACATTCCATGACAGAACCTGTGGGGCTACAGAATGACTCCCGGGGGTCACCCGGAACAGTCAAGATGACAAGGGATGGTTCCACAATCGAGGTCGACCTTTCAAAGCCTCCCGACCGGCGACTGGCTTTAGAATGACTTCCTTGACTAACCAGTGGTTTTGGGGGTTCCCTTGGCTCTTTAGCTCCTTATTTAATAGGGATTATCATCATCCCTGGCTCCTTAGCTCCCCCAATATCAATGGCTAGTTGAGATACCCTAGATTTCCGCAGGAAAACACAACAAATCTATAGAATGAGTCCCTTGGGTACTCACAAACCAATCCCCGCTGTAAAACGACCCGGAAGGACCCCTCTATGAAATGGCCAACCCCATTTTATAGAGAACAAGGGCTGGTCATTTCATAGAGCCATAAACCAGGGATATCCTAAACTCGAAGCCTCATCCCTAAACCCGTGACCCTAAAGTCCTGTGGCAAAGCCATCGTCCAACCCCTACTTTAACAGCGGTGTCGGAATAATTAGTCCTTGTCGCCATCTAACGTCCCTGTTTATAGTAGACCCCGAAAAGTTGGAAACCAGATTAAGGCCAACTAGTGCTGGGATTCACCATACATTACTCTTAAGGGTTGAGGCTATCGGGTTTCCAACTTTCGGGCTTATACTGTAGATTATACGAACATAAACCCAGAAAACTACTCAGGCCCCTATAGCCCTAAATACGTGATAGAATACTTCCAGGATCCATCCGTAAATTAGTAAAGAAACCCTAAACCCCAAACCCCTGTGCCCAAAGGGTCCAAAGTACTGTTATGGGGGATACTTCCCCAAATCATAAAAGTAATTTCTATTATCGAGACCCTACATTCTACTATAAAGGTATTTTGGACCCTTTGGGATACCAGCCCAGAGCGAGCGTCTGAGTAGTGTCAGGCTGTAGAGGCAGTCCTTGTACCGCGTAAACCTTAGGTTTCTGCGGTTTAGTTGGTTTAGGGTTTAGGCGTTTAGGGGTTTAGGGGTTTAGGGTTTATAGGGTTTAGAGGTTTAGGGGTTTAGGACCTTCCGGCGTGAGGCCAGGAAACAATCAGCGGTTTAGAAGCTTAGGGCTTGTGGGGGTCTGTCAGGCTTCCAGAGGTTTTGCAAGTTTAGGATCTGTATGACATGGCTATATATGAAGAAGAAATTAAGAATCCGACAACACGACAACATAACAGTGGAACAATATAGTACCATAGTCATATCCTAGACCTCCCAACTACCCACTAGTATACCCTGGGTCATCCACTGTTAGGCACCATAAGGGGCCGGTTTAAAGGGCACGGGGGGGGGGAGGGTCCTGAATGATGTTCTAAGCTTTCTAGAAGATCAGAAGTCTAGGAGTTACATGGCTTCATGAGGCTTCCGGATGCAACTGGGAGTTTCCGAAAATTAGGGGGGTACCTTTTTTTGGAGTCCGTATAAGAAGGATCCTACTAGTTAGGGTACTATATTAGGGTCCCCTGTTTTCCAGACCCTAAGGCTCCAAGTACTCAAATAGTAGGGTTTCAAGGTCCAAAAACCATTCAGAGTATGGATTTTGGGACCTGGAACCCTACTATTCGGGTATCTGGACCCTCTGGGAGATTTAACTTGGCAGACGTGCATATCAAGATTGACCAAAGAATCCTAAGTACCTCCATGGGATAAAGAAGGGTTTGGGGTTTTGGGGTTTGGGGTTTAGTGTAGAGTCCTAAGTCCCTTCCTGGAAAAAAGTAAGGCTTAGGGTTTAGGGGGTTTGGGTTTGGGGTTTAGGGTAGGGTCCTAAGTACCTCTATGGAATAAAGAAAGGTTTCTATAGTAGGAACTATTCTTACGGTTTGGGCAAGTATCCCCCACATAGGAATTTTAGGGTTGCTATAAAACGTACTTGTTGAAACCAGAAATGTCGGAAGCTCTGCCTGGTCTTGGTGTTGGAATTTAAGAGATTAGCTGTTTGGAGTTTTTGCTCCCAAACAGAGAAGGACACAGTCCCTACGCTATTGGGATTCACGAGAAGTCGGCTTGTATCCGACATCCCTATCCTGACTCTTGCGTATGTCCTTCTTGGGGCCAGTACCCAGGGAACCCAGTACCTCTGAGGCCTTAATATTGTGATTTATGGCATATTCCTGAATTCAGGGGTATTGGGTTCCGGAACTTTGCATTTGGGGGCCAGCGGTTGGCGCGGTGCCCCTTATGCCACTAGGACACGAGCCTCAAGAAGGGTGTTCCCTAAGGGTCCAATAGTAGAAACTTTGGCCCCAATGTACCTATGTAGGGAGTATTTTAAGGCCAAAGTAACTATTCGGGTCCTTGGGGTCTGAGGCTTTTGGGTTCGCAAGCGTCACCAATCAAATTTGAAAAGCCTGCGACGACAGGCAGAACCGGTTTTAGTGACAGCGCAACTCAGAAAGCGACAAACACTTGGACTCTAAGGGTTTTGGCTTGACTGATCAACAAAATACTGTGCGCATCTAAGACCCCAAAAGGAGACCGCTCGCTTCACAAGGTGTATCCCGTTCTCCGCAAGACTTCTATCACACACCCACAACCACCATAATCAAAGTCATCAGCATCATCATCCTGCCATCGTCCAGGTCAAGGAGTCCGATTCAACCCTATGACTCTATGTACCCAAATAGTATATACTTTGGCCCCAAGGTACCCATTTAGGGACTGCTTGAAGGCCGTTGTATATACGATATGAGTACATGGACCCTGGGAATAGTAAGATCGGAATATATCCGAATGTCATTGTGCTGTACAAACCGCAGGCTCTAACAACTTAACTTCTAAGCACTAAGATTCCAAAGCCCTAAACTCAAGAGACCTTGTAAAATCTAGCCGACAGCACCTGCAAGACATCTCCAATGGCAGGATGCAGCCCCAAACCAACCCTAAACCGGAAGCTGCCCTCAACCCTTTCCCGAGATGTCGTCGGCCCTCCCAAGCCGCTTGGCCGTACAGCCGCTCTTCGGCGGTTGATGATACAAATCCTGCATTACCTTAATGACCCTAAACTATGGGAATTATGGTATATTCATTATTCTGGGTCATGCAGGATTTCTATCAGTCATCAACAGTAGTACCCTTCAAACGAACCCGTGTAACCCACAACCCTAAGGGTCCAAGTAGTTCCCATTGGTGGTTTTTGGTTCCCCAAAAGGGCCCCAAAGCCCTATAAACCCTCCAGATAAGGTGGGTTTATAAGACCCAGGTCTTGCCTCAAAGAAGGAGTACTTGGACACTTGGGGCAACAGCTGTAACTTGGCTGACTTCTGAACCCCTCCGAAAAATTAGACTTTTTGCCTCCTTATTATGGTTCATATAGAAACCCAAAAAGTTACAGTCCTAAACAGCCTACCTGAAGAACGCCAAGTGAAGACGCGGCGCTGGAGCTCAGCGTTCAAGGGCTTTGACAGGAGGCCAAAGATGGCGACCTCACAGAGGATACACTTACCTGGACCCCAAAGAAACTACCTTTCTAGGGCTCCATATTATGATTTCCTTGATTTGGGGCCGAAGCGGCTTTCCCAAAGTGTTAGACATGTTCTATTGTAGCATTCAGGGACTTCAAGGATTTCAGTAGATTAGGGTTTGGGGAGGTTCTTAAAGGGGTTTCAATAGGGCCATACAGATAGGGCTTAGGGTTTAGGAATCAAGGGTTTTGGGTTTAGGCATCAAGGGTTTCGGGTTCAGGAGGACGACCTCGGTGTCCCTCCAAAGAAGGCCCACGTGCAACCCAAAGACTCCAAAGCCCCTTACATAAGGACTATACCCTTTCATCATCATCATCATCATCATCATCATCATCATCATCATCATCATCATCATCATCATCATCATCATCATCATCATCATATATATATATAGGGCACCTCTATGATTTCAGGTAAATATTCCTTAATTAAGAGGCTGAGGAGTGTCTGGGAATCAACCAGGCTTTAAGGGTTTGGGGTTTAGCTGGTTCTAAAGAATTTCGGTTTGGGGCGCCGGAAGCATGAGGCTCTTAAGGGACAGGAACAACACTTGTAGGAACCCTTCTCGGAACCCTTAGAACCCACATAGAACCTCAGTAGACGCCTTACAGGGACACCTAAGGCCCAAAGGAACCCCTAAGCAACCCCTAACTGAAGGAACCCCGACCAAACCCTGAAAACTACACCCTCAATCCCAAACCCGACAAACCTTGAACCCTAAATCCCACACCCTATAAACCCTAAGCCCTCAACCCGAAACCCGAAAAAAACCCAAATAGCCCCCAAAAACTCTAAAGGCCCCAGGGGGCCTCGGAGTCGGCCGTCCGTGAGCTCCTCTGTCGGTAGGCCTTTGGGGGGGCTTCTGGGGCTCTTCAGGGGTCGGGAAATCTGGGGAACGTGGTCAGTTCCTTTAAGGGAGCCCTTGAAGGAACCCTTTTTAAAGGAAGCCTTAAAGGAACCCTTGCACCCAGAGGCCCCAAAGTAGTACCCTATAGGATTCTATATATGAACCCCAAAATCGAACTACTTTGAGGCCTTTGGGTAAGAGCTACTCTAAGGGTTTGTCCTTTTACCGGGAGGCTCCATCAGGATTGCTTCAAGACTTGAGGGTTTGAGGCTTCAGGTTTTGAGGGCTGGGGTTGTGGATGGTACTGGGTCTGCAGTCTAAAGTGCGCATTTTAGAGGCTTGGTAGTTCGAAGTTCCGGCTTGGGGCTCTATCGTCAAGGGTGCTGAAGCATGAGAGGCTTAGCAACAACTGGAAACCCGCCAAAAAATGCAACTCGCCTCAAACGAAAGGCGAATGACTATTGGTAAACCATGTGAGTGCTAGTGCCCATGCACCAAAACCACCTGAAGCCCAAGCCCCTCTAAGCCGAAACCCTATAGGCCAAAAAAGGACAGCATTCAGCTCTTCACGTAAGCAAGATAGATCCCTGTGTAACTTCAAGGCTCTGCCCAGGAACCGTCCGTACTTCAGGGGGACGTGGCATATTCAACGGCTATTTGGCTTTCTGCCGAAGCGCGTGCTGCAAGAATCGAGTGACACGCTGGCTGAGGTCGATCGGAATGTCGTTCTGATGCCTTAGGACGTAGACGCATTGAGGGGTGTAGGGGTTCCGGACATAACAACCAGTTCATGGTTGGGATAGGATTTAAACTGTCAGTTTTTATTCCTCATTGGGTTTAAGTACCCATAAAAATGTAAGATGTTACCCAACTATGACAAAGACAAGAATTCCATGAGGGGCTCGATGATGGCGTCGACAAGGATCTAGCTTTTCGGTGGTCAGAGATGTGGGGGAAAAATCTATGCTGGAACCATGGAGCCCGCTTTACTCCTCGATTAAGGAGTATCTGATTCGGACAGCCATAGTGAACCCTTTGAACCCTGCAAAACCCTGCAACACGACATTCCAAAATCCTGAACCCTAAATTGTAAACCATGACACCCTGAAACCTGTCCCTTATGGCTCGGGCAACTTAAAGGGTCGTGGGACTTGGCAACTAGGTTGGTAACTATGGTTGTTAATTCTTATTTGGGTAACTATACTTATACTTGCTTATAACCTCAACTAAGACGCTTATACCCTCTGTTGCTATATAACTCCCATGATCCAACAGCTGGGGTTAAGAGTAGTAGAGGGTTCTATGATACGGGGTGTTCTTTAAGGCTTACGGCTTAAGGGTACCACAATTCTATAATAGGGCCCCCTTTATGGTCCGGGCTAACCCCACGTCCCCTAAACCCTCAAACCCTAAACCGTAAACCCCAAACCCCTACACCCCAAACCCCTAAACCCCAAGCTAAACCCCTAAACCCTAAACCCCCAAACCCCTAAACTAAACCCCTAAACCCTCAACCTGCCGAGGAGTCCTGGGTGAACCCGAAGCTACCTTCTTAGATGCTGAGTTCACAAGCCCCCAAAAGGGTACACTTTCAGTTTTCGGCTTAGGGTTTAGGGATATTGGGTAATAGTATCCCCTAAACCCTAAACCCCTAAACTCTAATCCACTCAGCTACTAAGAACATGCAGAAAAGGCGCAAGAAGCGCCTCAGGTCCCTGAAAAGCTGTTGCTCCTGGGTCGCGAAGGGTTCCTTTAAGGGCCCCTTTAGTGTTAGGGTTTAGGGTTTAGTTTAGGGTTCCTTGAAGGGTTCCTTTGAGCGTTACTTTGAGGGTCCCTCAAAGGGTCCCGGCTTTATTGGATGTCGTTCAGGTTTTAAGGGTTTAAGGCTTAGGGTTCCTTTCATTGCTCTGAGACTGGCTCCTTTAAGGGATCTATAGGGGTTCAGGTTCCCGGCTTTGTGGGATGTCATGGTTTAGGGTCTGGGGGTTTGGGGTTAAAGGGATTTGGGGTTTCGGGTTTCGGGTTACTTGGGGGATCGGGGGACTTAGTAAGTAGACTTATAAGTACCCTAAAAGGGACCCTCATTGGGGTTATGGTACTTGTATGTCCCCAAAATACTCAATTACTAAGTCCCCCGACCCCCCAAGTAGTCGGTAGGTTCACAGGGTCGAAGACAACTTGGGGCCCGAAGCGGCTTTCTCAAAGTGTCCCTAAGGGTCCATGTACCCAGATAGCATATACTTTGGGCCCAATGTACTTATCTAGGGAGTACTTTAAGGCCAATGTATATACTATTTTGGGTACATGGACCCTTAGGGTGTTTGAAATATTCTAGCCCAAAAGTTGGGGCTCTAAGCACTCGTCTCTGACACTTTTCGAAGACCATGCAGCGCAAGGCCCGAAATTGCCCGAAAACCGAGCACCGAATCGGGAAACAGACCCAAAGCCATAATCCCTAAATTCCGAAACTGAACCCTATATCCCCAAACCCTAAGACCCAAAACTGAACCCTAAAGCCCTAAACACCCAAAGCTCAACCATAAAGTCATAAACGCAATAACCCTTAACCCCAAAGCCCTAAACACCTCCCTCCCCAAGAAAACTGGGTTGCTCCTCATCCTGGGCCTTTTGCAAGTTGCTCATCAAGGAGGTGACAGTACCTTTGCATTCTAGGGTCTAGGGTTCAGGGTTTAGGATATGGGTTTAGGGTCTCGGGTTTAGGATATGGGTTTTAGGGTTTTAGGGTTTAGCATTCAAGGGTTTGGGGTTTGAGGTTGAGGAGATGAGGGGTTTAGGGTCGAGAGCTTTCTTAGGTTCGAGAGAGACTTTAAGGGTTTTGGGGCTTCAGGTTTGGGGTTTGAGGCTATTCTAGTGTTGGAGGTTTAGGGCTTAAGGGTTAAGGGTTTGAGCTTTAGGTTTTAGGGCTTTAAGGGTTTTTTTTAAGGGTTCACGGTGCAGGGAGTATCGGTTTACGGCTTCTGGGACTCAGGGCTTGGGATCGCATCACTCTGGAATAAGTCCATACTTAAAGGCTCATGGGACTTAGTAAGTAAGGTTATAAGTAGGTTATAATTAGGATAACCCCACTTAGGGGACTTATAACCCCAATTATAACCTACTTACTAAGTCCCATGATCCTTCAAGTACATACAGGCTGTAGCTGCAAAACGAAAGTGTTTGGGGTTCTTAAGGCTTTAAACACTTGGGATTTTCCGGAAATTAGGGGCCCTAGCATAGTAAGAACCCTACATCGTTGGATCCTTAAACAAAGGACCCCTAAATAAGGTCCCCATAATTTTCGGAAAACTCTGAACCTTTACAGAGCCCCTTAAAGGAACCCTTATAGTGCTCGTAGAGTAACCCTTTAAAGGAACCCTTAGGCGGGGCTCTAGGATTCCGGTGCTTAGGGTTGATGTTCAGAGAGATGGAGCAGATTCTTGCGGTTGATGATATAAATCCTGCATTACCTTCAGGACCTAAACTATGGAAATTATGGCATATTCCTTATTATTGGTACTGCAGGATTTATATTCATGAACCGTAGTTTATCAGCAGTTCCATGGCACTAAAGCTAAAGCCGAAACTGGAGAATGATGGGATGGAGGCTCAGGTCTTCAGAAGAGTTTTTTGGACTATATAATATATGGCCTACATTATATGGCGACTGCGAGGGGAAACCATTAAAACGAAGACCCAAACCCTACAAGGCACACCCACTAGCTTAAACCCTAAACCGTTCCACCTGCCTTGAAAAAATCCATTCCCTCGGAAGGCAAGCAGCAAACCAAGTTTGTGGAGATCCCCGCAGCAGAAACAAGAATAAGTCTCCAAGAGCCGCACAGCCAAGGCTTGCAGGTTAAGAGCAAGTCTCTCTGACTTAAGAGCCTACTGTAGGCTGCTGAGCTTAAGGCCTCGTCAAGGTTTGAGTTTGGGCTAGGGGGTGTAGGGACTGCAGGGGCTTGGGGGCTTAGCGGCTTTGGGTTTGCCGGGTTTGGCATGGAGGGTTTGGGGGCTTATGTACTCCTCTCGGTCATCACGAGATCAAGCAGTACGATGCATTCAGACTGCAACCGCAAGCCCGCAAGCCCTAGACCCTACATGAACCCTCAAGCCCTGCTTGAACTAAACAAACCCTATGAGCCCTAAGCCGAAAATAAACCACACACTCCCTAATTCCTAACCCCAGGGCTCTAAGGACTCATGTATTAAGGCTTTTGGGCCCAAAGACCATACCATATAAGGCTTTTGGGCTATTCTGATCCCCAGGATAAATAATACCTCCATAAACCCTATAAGCCCCAAGATCCACCGAGCCTTACGGGCTCAAAAGCGCCATCTCCTAGGTCCAAAACTACTGCAACCGCTCAGTCGTAACCTACCACATCTAGGAGTTTCCGAAAATAGGGGACCCTAATATAGTATCCTGAATAGTAGGATCCTTATTATGAGGACCCCAAAATAAGGTACCCCGAATATTCGGAAACTCCCATCTACTGTTTGTCGGGCTCGAAGGTTACTTGAAGGCTCATGGGACTTAGCAAGTAAGGTTATAAGTAGGTTCTAATTAGGATTACCCCACTTAGGGGACTTATAACCCCAGTTAAAACCTACTTACTAAGTCCCATGATCCTCTAAGTAAACCCAAACTACCCCTTATAGAACCCTTATACTATAGATCCCTAAACCCTAAACCCTTTAAGGAACCCTAAGTCCCATGATCCTTCAAGTAGCTCCAACCATGGTTGCTTAATCCCCTGGCCCTTGCTTAGCCATTCGCGCCCAAGCACTGACAAGAGTGGAGAAGCTGATCAAACATGTGAAAGCCACCAAAATGCCTGGGCGGCGGACGAACGAAGAAGGATCTTCGTGGTGCATGCTGCATATACATCGGAGGTTGTAAGGTGCATTTAGGGGGGTGTCATGAAGGGTTTTATGAGGTTTATGTGGTGTTTGATAGGGTTCTTTAGGGTTCATGTAGGGCGTGCACAGGTTCCAATATCCCTGACTCTGGAAAGGCCACCTTCTTCAGCAGCACAACCATGATTCGAGCAGCATTTTATCGTTGACAACTTTTTGCAAGATCCAACTTACAAACGCAGGGACTACGTCAGCAGAGCAACAGGAAAAGACGAGATTCCAAGATGCAGAAACCCTCCCTCTAAATAGAGACCTGTACGCACAGGAAAGTGCCTTTCGGCCTGTCTAGGGCACGTCACCTAAACCCTAAACCCATTTTGAGGGCTTGAGGGCTTTAGGTTTTTGTCTTAAAGTGCTTTTACTTTTTTTTTTAGGGGGGGTTGCTTGGCATGTGCGGGTGTTCGGTTCCTATTTCGGGGGGCTCCAAGCCTCGGAGGGCAGACACTTGTCGCACCGCAGGGCCCAGGGGTTTAGGGTTCAGGGTGTAGGGTTTGGGGTTTAGGGTTTAGGCTGTAGGGTTTAGAGTTTAGGGCAAAGCCGGAGCTTTTGGAGAAAAAGGTAGCTGGTAAATGGTGGTTGTTGTCCTTCTGGACCACATGAACCTAAAAAAGGGCTTTAGGGATCCATAGTATCAGGGTACAGGGCGCGGTGATTAGGAAACCCTGTCGCTTTTATCACTTGTATCAGGGCTGGTTATATGAATCCTACTAGCTTGGGGTTACAGGGCCAAGGTTTCTTAATCAGGTTCCGACACTCGGGTGCAAGACCTTGCGACAGCAGGTCCTGTATGCGCTGGCGCCGCTGTTAAGACATGACCCTGAGGGTCTATGTACTCATGTAGTATATATACATTGGCCTTAAAGTACTCCCTATACAGGTACGTTGGGCCCAAAGTGTATGCTATTTGGGTACATGGACCCTTAGGGTGGGTTGGGTAAGACATGAAGGGCCCAGGGCGAGTGTTCAGGGGACTGGGAAATTTTGAGGCCTACGTGAATTCCAAGACTCACAATAAACCCTTCTACAACCCGAATAGAGCCCAATCATCAAGCACCCTCTGAGGGAACCCAGAACCCCAAAGCTCCCCAAACTCCCTAATTAAACCCTAAAGCTCCCTAATTAAACCCCAAAGCTCCCTAAACTCCCTAATTAAACCCTAAAGCTCCCTAATTAAACCCCAAAGCTCCCTAAACTCCCTAATTAAACCCTAAACCTCCCTAAACTCCCTAATTAAACCCTAAACCTCCCTTAAACCCGAAACTTGAAACGTGGATCTAGACCGCCCAAGGGGCAAAAAACTCGTTCCTCCACGTTCACTGCCTCGATTCCTTCGACCGATCCCATACCTGCACAAGAGTAGAAACTTGCCCAGACCAAGATTAAATTTCATTACGGTTCCTTTCAGGAACAGGTACGGAAAACAAATTCAAGCATGGTACTCCTGAACCCAGGCAGGGGCTTTAGGGCTTTAAAGGCTTTCGTTTAAAGGTTTTAGGGTTGAAGATTTGGGGCTTAGGATTTATGGTTAGTGGGCTTAGGGTTCTGCAAGGATGCATGGCGCTGAATAGGGTTCTGTGAGGATTTTGATGTCTTGGTGCGCAAGGCGCTTAGGGATGTTTAGGATTTTAGGCAGCCAACAAACACAAAGTTCACGTCTGGGGTTTGCAAGGGCTCTGGGCTTAGAGGGTGTTCTGCTGAGATTTGACAAGGTTCAGGATCAAGAGTCAAGAGTCCAAAGGGTTTAGGACTTAAGGCTCAGACTTCTATTATGCAAAAGGGTTTGGGGGTTCGACAGTCGTTGTGTGTGGCAGCGATGGAAGTTGCGGGCTGAGTGGGAAGGATAGTGGTTGCCGTCACTGTAATGATCGTAGGACCGAACCGAAGTAGCGGTAGAAGTAGTATTCGTAGTAGTAGTAGTAGTAGTAGTAGTAGTAGTAGTAGTAGTAGTAGTAGTAGTAGTAGTAGTAGTAGTAGTCGTCGTAGTCGTAGTAGCCTGGTAGTAGTATGGTGGTAGTATGCCGGGAGTAAGAGGAGCAGTCTTGTTTGGGCTTTGGCTGCGGGGTTTGTTCCTGGACGTCAAAGCGCCACCAAAACCTATGCTCTGCAACCTGATCACACCGCAGCCAGACCCGAATCCCTCGGAAGAACGAACCCACAGCCAGGTTCAACTTCTTCTACGTGGTAGCACCCTGAAGTAAACTCTTAGCCACCTTCTGCTTCTGCAACAACAGTATTTACTTGTGGGTGTTGCGGAGGCTTGGGGCTTCCTAAACCCGAATCCCGGAGAGCTTGAGAAAAGTTCCGGCTGTTTGCCCAGCCTAGCTGAGCGAAGGCCCAGTGAAGGCACGTGGCATACTGGTACTCGAAGGTGACGCCCTCATGCTTCCGTTTTCGGTACATTACAGGTTCGGGAAGTACATCTTGCAGTAATGCCTGTATGATTGCAGGCACGAGAGGGTAGCACAGGCAAGTCTAATCGCAACCACTACTCTAGTCTCCGCCATGGCATGAATCAGCACCACAGAAAAAGACTTTTCTTCGTGTCGTCATTGTTGTAATGTTCTTCATCCCTGGGTGAGCTCGAATGCTTAGGCACCACTTCAACATCTTTGCTGTGGAAGTAGGACGGCGACTGTCGCACTATTCGTCTCAAGTGTTTCCATTTTTTCTGGTTGTGAGCACAGTCACAATCGTCAGCGACATCCACGGCTTCCTTTGCGGTATTCCGTGCCCTAAGCCTCTCAATAAAAAAGGGTCGTCGGTCGCTGCACGTTTCTAAAGCTTATCGACGGGGTTGTAGAATAAGCTAAGCAAAGAAATCCAAACGATAGCATCAGCATGTACCAGCAATTAACCGGGCCCCTATACTACTTCGGCTGCTCTTGACAGGGAAGTTGACTTAGGGTTGGGAAGTTAGCAGTCACGTTTTGAGTGATTCGGTGAAGCTTCTGTTCGGGATGATGAAGCAAAACCTATGGGTTTAGAAAAGAGAAAAGGCGCGAAACCCAAACCCCCTAAACCCTAAACCTTAAACCTTTAGAACTTGTCTGCAACTTAGTCTCAGGTCCGTCCATGTTAAACGCGGTGATCCAACTTCTTTCGCCTCAGCTTCGGGCAGATCATGTAGGGACTTCTTGGGTTCCGAATCCTTTCCCCGAAAAAAGAACATACTGCCGTTCTGTCTGAACAGTCCCAGGACCCCCTGGCAGGTACTTGGGGTATAATGCTTGGAGGGTAGGGGGACTTAGTAACTGGTTATTTTAGGGACTCATAAGTACTATAACCCCAATTAAGGGTCCCTTTTAGGGTACTTATAAGTCTACTTACTAACTACTTACTAAGTCCCCCGACCCCCCAAGTAATAAGTAGATGCAGGGTCTAGCCATTCAGTTTTGAGATCTCTCGGTCTCGAGCACTCAGCCTCGAACCCTATAAGCCCTGTCAGGACCCCCCTGCAGAATCATAGGGGTCTTTATTATAACCCTTGCCATTTGGGAGTTCCTGCACCCATTAAACTCCTAACTCCTACATGGGAGCTTCCGCAAATGGGGGACGTTAATATAGTATCCTAAACAGTAGAATCCTTATTACAAGGACCCCCCCAAAGTAAGGTACCCGTCATTTTTCGGAAACTCCCACATCCCAAATGCTCGGCTTGCTCCAGACACGGAACGCTGAACTTCCTACCGGAAATCCGACACTCGAAGCCCCAGCTCCTAAGCCCTAAACACTAGGGTTTAGGGTTTTAGGGATAAAACCCTATAATCCCACTGTACAGGCTTCTAGCGTCCGATGACACTTGGAGGATCATGGGACTTAGTAAGTTAGGTTATAAGTACCTTAATTAATGGGGGTTATAGGTAATTATGAGTATAGCTACATCAATTAGAGCCCTAGTTGCTAAGTCCCATGACCCTTTAACTAAGCCCTCAACACGAACCCCGCTTCCAATCCAATGAAAAAAGCAAACACATCGGTGCCAGAACACGTATAAGTACCGGTTTTGGGGGATATGCTTGACTATATGGTTCCAATTCCAGCTCATGCCTCCCTGTAGAACAGGGTTACTTCTAACTCAGACTATTCTAGAGCTACGAGTAACCTTGGAATAAAAAGGGTGCCCTTTTTGGATTTGAAGAGGATTATACGGGAACCCAAACCCTAGAAAAGGGAATAACGGCCTACTCTGGGTCCTCGTATTTGATGCTTGAGATGCCTTTACACCCCGGAGCCAGGCGACGAAAAGTTAACAACCTCCGAGAAGACCTTCTGCAAACGAGCATTGCACTAGACTCAAGAGTAACCTAGGAGAAAAAAGCGTGCCTTTTTGTGTTAAAGGGGGTTACAAGAGAACCTAAACCCTAACAAAAAGGGAATAAGGGCCTACTCTGGGTCCTAGTGCAGGGGTCTGAGGAATCGGCCATGTTTTGCCACTATACTTACTATACTTCTTATGTCAGTCGTTCTGTCAGTAACAATATTCTTCTCTACCCCAACACGAATCGCTATAGCCCTCTTACACGCCCTTACTAAACCCCTTAAAACTACTCTGCAAGAGCCCTCGTGAAAGATCTTATGCAACGTTATACAGCCCAAGTCTATTGACTAAGGCCCCTGTATCAAACCCTAACTCGGAATTCTCTACACTTCTCGGTGCAGCGGGAAGGCGATCCACAAAGAAGGTCGAGCTGCCAACACCTTGGAGTCTGTTGCTGGAGCGACGAGTTTGGGGTTTCGGCTCAGGGGAGTAAGGGTTCAGGATATAGCATCCAAGCATGCTACGGTTGATGATGTAAATAAAATATGGGAATTATGGTATATTCCTTATTATGGGTGAGGATTCATATCATCAACCGTAGTAGAGGTAGCAGCAACACCAACACTGCTAAACCTGCAAGTTTTGCAAGACAAAACCGGTTCAACGGCACGTCGCAATGTCGCGCACCCCTGTTCACCAAAGCTGGCACCCCAACCGCTACAACCTGAACCCTAAACCCTAAACCCTAAATCCTATACCCTAGATCCTAAACCCTAAATCCTAAACCCAAAACCCTAAATCCTAAACCGCGCATGGGGCTCCCACCCCACCAGCCACAGGCGATAAGATGCTGGAGCAAGAAGACCTTCGCTATCACCTTGGATAGGGCCCCAAAAAAGCACATAAGCAAAAATTAGGATAGGATGTCCCATATAAACCCCCTTAAAAAGAAGCCCAATAAGATAGGGATATCCCCATAAAATGCTTATGCTTATGTGCTTTTTGGGTCCCTAATTGGAGTCTTCTTACACTTGGACCCCCGTAAAGGGCTCTTTAAAAGGGTTGCTATAATCCAGGGTCCTACAATTCAGGGTCCTATAAGGGGCTCCATGATATAGGGGCCTCGATAATTTGACTATGACTGAGCTTTTCGGGTCTTTTCCGGGCTTCTGTACGCAGAATATCTGATGCATAGCGATAGCTATAGCTAGCTATTCCGACCCGCAGGTGTTTCTAGGGCGCAGGGTTGTAGCGGAGGATCATGGCAAGAGCTTATGTAGGGCATTTACGATGGGACTCCAAAGGTTTAGCCTGGACTTTAGGATGCGAATCCAGGCTTGCCAAATATTTCACATGTGGGCTGGGTTTTCCACAGGCTCGGGCTGCCTCTTGCCTCCAACATAGTTTCCAACATAGTTTCCTCAAGTAATGGTTGAAATCGACTTTGGGGTACATTCGGCTGCAGTGGTTAAAACGGGGTATGTTCTGCTACAGAGATATAAGAACCAGAATTGAATGCTGTTGCTAAATTCCGACCCCTATGTGACAATGTTGGGTTTAGGGTTTTAGAAAAAGAAAGGCTTTCCGACCCCTATATTGGGGCTTCAGCCTCCTCGTGTCGGTTCAGAGTTTGGTTTAGGGTTTATGGTTTAAGGTTCTGGGTTTAGGAGTCGACTTCTACACAAGAGGCCCGAACGCGGTTTTCTTGGACTTCGGCCTCAGCTTACAGGGCTTAACAAGTTCGCTGTACTCATCTGGGTTCTTGTTAAGGGACTTAATTTAAGTTACCATAATACGGAAACCTTACTATTCACTATAGATCCCTATGATGGTAACTTAAATTAAGTCGCTGAACAAGAACCCAGTCATAGTGTACCCGTAGCATATAAGTCTTAATAGTAGTAGATTAGCAACTTGATATCGCCATTGATGATGTCAAAAACACGTCTTGGTCTGAAGGCTGTTCAACGAAAACTGCTCTCCGCATACTGCAGACCAGGGAGATAAAGCAGAGACTTCATTGAATACTGGTTCCTCTAAGGAGCAGATCCCAAAAAAGTACGCAAGTATGGTTGAATACGTTTACGGAAGCCTATTTTGGCACCTCTAAAGGGACCCTAAGAAGCCCCATTATGGAAAACCAGTATAGGTTTTGGGCAGGCTTGAAGCGTGATGGTCGCGACGCCCTGATCTCGAAGCCTAAGCCCTCAACCTAAAGCCAACCCTGTACTCCAAACCCGTAAACCCAGACCCTAAGCCCTAAACCCTTAAAGCCTGAACCCGTAAAGACTTAACCCTCAACTGTTAACGCATGAAGCCCACCGAAACCTTTGGATCCTGAGCCCTAAACCCCAAACCCTTAAACCCCAAACCTTTCAATCGCAAAAACCCTTATAGATGTCCTTGTAGAACCCTTAAAGGAACCCATCCCTTACAGACCCCTCATAGGAACCCATAACCCTTAAAGGCCCTCAAACCCTTAAACCCCAAGACTTTAAATCCAAAACCCTAAACCCTTACAGATACCTTATAGAAGCCTTAGAGGAACCCCTCCTTCCCTAAATCCTTTAAATCCTGAAACCCCTATAGATCCCTTACAGAACCCTTCAAGGAACCCGTCGTAGGAATCCCATAACCCTTTAAAGACCCTGAAAGGCCCTTTAAACCACAGCGCTCTGAGGATGCCGAATTGAATGATCCCGGCTTCGGTCGCGATCTGCTCCTGGGAAGGGGATGCAGAGAGGGGAAGCCGGGGCGTTGCTTGGGTTTAGGGGTTGAGGGATTGAGGGATTGAGGGGTTGAGGGGTGTAGGGGTTGAGGGGTTTAGGGGTTGAGGGGATTAAGGGTTTAGGGGTTTAGGGGTTGAGGGATTTAGGGGTTTAGGGGTTTTGAGGTTTAGGGGTTTAGTGAGGGGTTTAGGGGTTGCGGGGTTTAGGGGTTTAGCGGTTGGGCGGTTTAGGGGTTGAGGGGTTTAGTGTCTAGGGGTTTAGGGTTTAGGGTAAACCCCGTAAAGTTGGAATAGGATTCCTTTAAACGGCTCCTTTAAAGGGGGGATCTACAATAGAGTTCTATAATGTGGGGGCGTTACAGTAAACCCTGTAAAGTTGGAAACAGGATGAAGGTCAAATACTGCTGGGATTCCCTATACATGACTCTTAAGGGTTCAGGCTATTGGGTTTCCAACTTGTGGGCTTCTACTATACTGTTACTAACTATGCCTGACTAGGGGAGGTTCTGGAATCAGGTACCATAATTATACTTTGCTGACTTCTGAACCCCTCCAAAAAGTTAGACTTTCAGCCTCCTCATTATGGTTCATATCGAGACCCAAAAAGTTTAAGTCCTAAGAGCCCAGCAGAAGAACGTCAAGTATAAGGATCTTACGATTCGGTGCCGAATATGAGGGTTTCTGAAACCCCCATCTAGTAGAACCCGAGGTCGGAGGGCTCATATCAAACCACCCCGAAAGCACAACCCGACACTCTGCACCCCTAAACCCTGAACCCTAAACCTCCAAACTCTAATGCCCTTATAAACCCTAAAGCCTAAACCGAGAAACCCTAAACCCCTAAAGCCTAACCCGCTGAACCAAAACACCTCAGCGTCAGACTCCGACCCGAACACCTTAACCTGTGCAGACATCAGAAAAGCAAAAGGAAGAGAAGCTCTTGTCTAACTCTTATTACAGGCTGAGTTGGTAAGACTATAAAAACCCCAAAAGGATAAACCTGATACTTAGGGGCTGGGTTGGTAAGATTCTATCAACCCCGAAAAGTTAACCCTACTCAGCTACTGAGAATATGGGGGCCTGAATAACTAAAACAGGGTCTTGGGGCATCTGAATTACTATAGTACGGTGAGGAATCCGTATTTCATGAAGCGCGATGCGCACCCGGTGCTAAAAGGGTCCATACTACAAAGACCCCTAGCAATAGAATCCGATGTTAAAACAAATCCCGTGAAGCACTGTGAAACAAACACAAGCATGTGACTAGATCCACAACAGAAGCCACGTTGAGAACACGGATCCAGATGTCTGTCTCCGTTGCCCGGGGGGCTTCGGGCATTGCAAACCCAAACCGCTTCAGCCGGTAGTCGCACATTAAGGAGGCCTATGCAGGGCAGGGGTACTAATAACCGCGAGGGATCCTACCAGGTTGCTATAAGGGTTACTATAAGGGGTAATCCCTAAACCCTAAAGCCTTACTGTAAGGGTGTTTTAGGTTTCGCGTTTTTAGAACTGAAGGCTTCAGTCCCAACGCCGGACGCCGTGCTGTCTAAGCATCGCGAAGAAAAGCAGAGACTTTGCTCATCTTGCCTGAGGACAAAACGGTTGATGATAAAAATCCTGCATCACCTTAAGGACCCGAAACTATGGGAATGATGGGATATTCCTTATTATGGGTCATGCAGGATTTGTATCATCAACCGAAGCATCCCACCTTAAACTTAAGCAAAAAGTCCAGAAGCCCAAGATTATGCCAATGAGCAGAAGATCACACTGAGAATCGAGTCGACCCTCGGACATACTGCTGGAGAAAAAGGGCGAGTTTGGGCTGTAGTTTTCCAACTGAGGGTTTAAAGTTTAGAGATTAGGCTGCCTGATTGTATGCTAGGGCTTGTCCGTGCATCTAACCTTTCTTTCCTGTTCGTAAAGGCTGCCTTCTCCGCTACTGAGAAACCCTTGTTGGCTAAACCTAAGACTCATGACAGCGACCATAAGAGCAGCGCGCTTGCAAAACAGCAACTACACTATGTGTACAGTAGGTGCATGCAAAATTTGCAAACCACGGTTGGTATGGTGCCAGTGAATGTGCAGCTACTGGCAAAACACACACCATCATCATACTATCACTGGTGATGCTGGGCGTGAACTGTTGAACGATGTGTAAAGACCCCATGAACACCGACGATAACCGAGTCAGCAGCAGAAAGCATAACCAACCCAACAAAAGCAGCTCAGCACAGTGTGACATCTGGCAGTGTCCGAAAATAGGGGATGCTAGTATGGTATCCTAAATAGTAGGATCCCTATTATAAGGACCCCCCAAGGTAAGATAACCCCTTATCTTCGGAAACGCCCACCTGCACCCAAAACGCACCCAGATCTGAAAAAACGCACCTGGAAGACGGAATGCAGAAGGTAGACCCGCACCCATCAACCCCAACCCGAGCCCGAAACCCGAGCCCTAAAGCCCTACTTGGAGGGTCGGGGGACTCAGTAACTGGCTATTTTAGGGACTTATAACTACCATAACCCCAATTAGGGTCCCTTTTAGGGTACTTATAAGTCTACTTACTAACTACTTACTAAGTCCCCTGACCCCCCAAGTAAGGAAGGGTTCCTTAAAAGGGGTTTAGAAGGCTTACTATAAGGGGTCTATAAGAGTACTATAATAATGTAGGAACCTGATTAAGAAGCCTTGGGCCTTTATTAGGGTTCCTTGTATGAATCCTACCATTTTGGGGTTATAGGGCCAGGGTTTGTTAATCAGGTGCCCACATTAGCCCCTAAAGCCCTGTATACAATAAGATACCACCGAAACCCAATTCCAAACCTTTACAAGTTCCGTAAACCCTACACCCTAAACCCTCAAATGCCCTTTTCGAACGTCGTGGAGTTCTTTCTGAGGGGCTCAGCCGAATCAGTCGGAACATCCGGAAGAAGCGCGCCGAGCGAATGGACTTCCTCAGCTTAGTGCTTTGGGGTTGCATAGGGTTGGGGGTCTAGGCTTTGGGGTTTAGAGGAAAGGCTTTCAAGGGCTGGGTTGAGGGCTTTGGATGGCTTTGGAGGTTTTGCTGCGTGTTTGTTAGGGTGTTAGAGGGTCCATGTACCTGATTTCCCCTCCCGCCTCTGTACCCAGAGGCCCCAAAGTAGTTCCTTTCTGGGGTTCATATATATAATCCTATAGGGTACTCCCAAAAAGGAACTACTTTGGGGCCTCTGGGTAGTATGGTGGTATGGTTCAGGCTTTGGGGCTTGTCATCATGGTTGGTAGAGCCTCGGTCATCCTTGCAGTGTGGTTAGGTTCGGGGGTTAGGTCTGGTTGGGGTCTTTGGCAATTCTTGGGGGAACTCCCCTCCCCCTTTTTCGCTGTGGCGTGGTTCTGGTTCCGATGCTCCTGCCTTGTTGGTGGACTCTCCTCCTCCGCCGGTGGGGTGGGGCGGTGCGGGGATTGGGTGTGGCAGCGACCGGCCACGAGCCGAGATCATAAATTGTATGCATCTTGGCCTGAAAGGGGTTCCTCTTTCCCCAAACCGTAAACCCTAAACCCTAAACCCTAGTTCCTCTTTAGACTTCAGGGGGTTGAGCCGGATGTTAGGGCTTCAGGGTTGCTGCCTTTGCGATAGGCCTTTGCACACAAGGTTCCCCTGTCCAGATGTGAGCCGAGTCTGGCAAGCAGGATTACATAGGGGCCTGACTCGTTTGAAGAAGGAAATTTGGTGTATATTATACTATCATTATGATAAAGACCTCCCCCCAAAAAACACACACACACACACACACACACGTACCCACCCACACACCCTATAGTAGGCGGATCCGGTTTCGGAGTTTGGTCTTCGGGCCTAGAGCAATGGAAAAGAAGCATCAGCAGCAGCAGCAGCCAGCGCCTGATTATCATGAGCTTCTGCTCCATGAGATGTAACTATCCAGAGTCTTCTCGATCCTAAAACCCTAAATCCTAAACCCTAGGCTCCATGCAGTCCTAAATCCTAAACCCGAAACCCCATGCAGAAAATCCAAAGCTATGTGCATAACACTTCGGAACTCTACTGCGGCTGAGGTGATACAAACACCGCTGCATGCCAAGAGCGACAGCCAAGTGCCCATAGCAAGACCAACACCCCCTACCCTACCCCGAACCCTAAACCCCTAAACCCTACCCTAAGGCCCCAAGGTAGTTCCTTTTGGGGGCTCATATTTAATTAGAACCCTATAAAGTAAGCCCCAAAAAAGGAACTACTTTGGGGCTTATGGGTAGACTCTAGATCCCGGGCCCCTATACCCTAAAGCATGAAATCCCGAACTCGCTGACTTCTGCTCCAAGCCAGCAACGCCTGGGAAGATCCAAACTGACTCAAAAAGTCATTGGCAACTACGGTTGATGATACAAGCCCTGCATGACCCGTAATAAGAAATATACCATAATCCCCATTGTTTTGGATCCTTAAGGTAATGCAGGATTTATATCATCAACAGTATGTAGAACATGCATCATGATTCAATCAAGGTTTGTGGGGGGTGTACTAGGTTTCTTGAAAATATTAACTCTGCTTAAATTGAGATTACAATCAACCCTAGGGTATAGTAGTTATTCAGGCTCTGGAGTATGCAGTGCTGAGTAGAAATGACCTGGCGGAGACACAACACGACACATAAACCATGCATGATCAAGCCCAACAACGTGGAGAAAACCCTCAAACAGCCTTATGCTTACGTCCTGGATTTCGAATAAACTAAAATGAAGATAGACCCGTGGCAAAAATCACAAATTTCGCTGTTTCTTACGGATTATATACAGGAACCAAAACATTGAAAATGCTATTTTTAAAGGCCCCTAAGTTAACATGTGCCCAGCTAGTATATACATTGGCCTTAAAGTACTCCCTACATAAGTACAGGGGGCCCAAAGTATAAACTATCTGGGTACATGGACCCTGAAGCGCTAAACTCCTATACACCCTCAAAGGAACCCTTATGGTACCCTTAAAGGATCCCTTAAACGGGTAGTTCTAAGTAAACTACCATGAACCCCTAAGTAGACCCTAAACCCCAAACCCTTAAATGGAGCCCGATTATAGAACCCTATAGTACCCTTAAAAGACCCTAGTTACCAAGTACTAAGTAGGGTAAACCCTATAGATCCCATGAAGGAACCCTATATACATGGACCCTTAGGGTAAGTTCCCTACACCCTAAACCCTAAACTCTAAAACCCTAAACCCTAAACTCTAAAACCCTAAACCCCAAACCCTAAACCCTAAACCCCAAACCCTAAACCAAACAGCGAGAGAGAGTCGTCACTCGGGCCACCCCCTCGGAGCCGTCCGCCGTCTCTGTAGTTTCTAGCCACCAGTCAATGCCAACCACTCCTGCCCACAGAATTTAAGGTTTAGGGCTTAGGGCGTCGGGTTTAGGGTTTAGGGCTTAGGGTTTAGGGTTTAGGGCTTAGGGCGTCGGGTTAAGGGTTTAGAGCTTAGGGTTTAGGGTTTAGGGCTTAGGGCGTCGGGTTTAGGGTTTAGGGCTTAGGGTTTAGGGCTTAGGGCGTCGGGTTTAGGGTTTAGGGCTTAGGGTTTAGGGCTTAGGGCGTCGGGTTTAGGGTTTAGGGCTTAGGGTTTAGGGTTTAGGGCTTAGGGCGTCGGGTTTAGGGTTTAGGGCTTAGGGTTTAGGGTTTAGGGCTTAGGGCGTCGGGTTTAGGGTTTAGGGCTTAGGGTTTAGGGTTTAGGCTTAGGGCGTCGGGTTTAGGGTTTAGGGCTTAGGGTTTAGGGTTTAGGGCTTTGGGCGTCGGGTTTAGGGTTTAGGGCGTCGGGTTTAGGGTTTAGGGTTTAGGGCTTAGGGCGTCGGGTTTAGGGTTTAGGGCTTAGGGCGTCGGGTTTAGGGTTTAGGGCTTAGGGTTTAGGGTTTAGGGCTTAGGGCGTCGGGTTTAGGGTTTAGGGCTTAGGGTTTAGGGTTTAGGGCTTAGGGCGTCGGGTTTAGGGTTTAGGGTTTAGGGTTCCGTCAATGCCAACCACTCCTGCGGTTGATGATATAAATCATCCTAGGGTTCCTTTAAAAGGATCTATACGGGTACCTTTAAGGGGCTCCTTTAAGGGATCTAATTATAGGGTTTTAGGGTTTAGGGATATAAGCCCTGCATGACCCATAATAAGGAATGTACCATATTTCCCATAGTTTAGGGTCCTTAGGGTACTGCAGGATTTCTATCATCAACCGTGCCACGGAAACAGCCGTCTAACCTATGGCTTAGGGAATAGGATTTAGGGGTTTACTGTTCTGTAATACTATTCCGACTGCAAATGCCATTATGGTTTAGGGAGTAGGGTTCAGGGTTTAGGGAAGTGGGGTAGACTGCTCGCATGGGTTGTACATGGGCTTTCGGGCGTTGGGGCTTCAGGGTATCAGAGCTTCAGTCTTCGTTAATCAAAATGACTTGGGGTTCAGGGGGTTCGTTCTGCTTGCTGAAAATAACTGGGCTTCTCTAGGTAAAGCATGAATCCAGGGATGAGGCAGTAAACCAAGCCCAATTTTCTCAGCCCTAAACCCCTCAATTCTATCCCCAGCGCAAGAGGAAAACATGCAAACCCCAACACGACCAACCTCGGGGGTGCTATGATCTAAGACAACTCAGCAAGGCTCAAGTAAGGGAACATAACCTACAATATAATTTCGTACAATCTCATATGGAATAGTACAATGCAAAGCCACCCGGGTATTTCGAGGGGTATTGTTCGGGGCTCCCCTGGTCCTACCAGTATGAGCCGTGATAATGTACCCTGGATGCTGACCGAAGGCTTCCACCTGCTGTATAGGGTTTATTACCAGTAGGGTTTAGGGTTTAAGGTTTAGGATGTAGGGTTTAAGGCTTGAGGTTTAGGGTTTAGGGTTTAAGGGGGTTTAGGGTTCAGGTTCTGCAAGCCTCTAACACTGCAACCTCAAAACGCTTTGGATGATTTCTACTGCTATGTCTTACTACTATATTGCGCTTGCAAATGAGATTGTTATTGGTGTTGCTATCACTATAATGACTACTACCCTTGTTGATTCTTATTATGCTCGCTATTAATCCCATTATTAGCATTACTGCGGTTGTTATAGCAATGTTTCGTCTTGTTGCTAGTGTTCTCGAGTCGGTTCAGTCCTATGTCTAAGAAGAACCAGGGATTGTTATAACAATACCCTAAACCCTAAACCCTAAACCCTTGTCCTATGTCTAAGAAGAACCAGGTGGTGATGTAGTTGAAGGCGATCTTGCGGTGCGTGAGCTCCAATCGCCCTTTCTCATAGTAGCCAGTGAAGAAAGAGAGCACAATGTCCATGGTCCAAAACAACCTAGGCTGACACCTAAAAGTGTCAAACGTTTAGCCGATTTCTTATACTTCATAGTAGAAACCAAAAAGTTCAAGTTCAAAGAGCCAACTAGAAGAACGCCAAGCAACAGTGACAAGGTGGCCAGCGCCGACCTCAGCATTTCAAGTCTCTAGAGCTTAATTCTGGCAGTATTGCTTTTGTAGCGACCCAGCGGCCCCCTAAACCCTAAACCCCGAAAGCAACTCGGATTCTGCCAGAGGCCCCTGATTGCGCAACGACTAGGGGCTGGGAAGCATTCACTCATAGAGATATGTAAGAAGGAACTCTTTGGGTTTAGGGGTTTGGGGTTTAGGGGTTTAGGGTTTCAGGATTCATTGTGGTAATAACATATTCAGGGTTCTGTGCTTTGAGATCCAAACCCAGAGTCGACACGCCGCTTTCACAAACGTCTGCTACCTTAGGTCGCGAAAAAACAACACTTTTCCGGTGCACGAAGCTTTGCACCAACCTATGTGAGTTTCCGAAAATTAGGGGTACCTTAGTTTGGGGTCCTGATAATAAGGATGCTATTATTTAGGGTACAACATGAGGTTCTCTATCAACCTAAACCCTAAATCCTGAACCCTAAACCCTATTTTCGGAAACTCCCCTATCGACCTCGAAGCGATGAGCTCCGGCGAACAAGAGTCCCTAGCAGCCCAGCTGCCGGGTGTAGCTGGCCATTTGAGGGACTTATAAGTATCATGATCCCAATTAGGGTCCCTTTTAGGGTACTTATAAGCCTACTTATTACCTACCTACTAAGTCCCCCGACCCTTCAAGTAAGGACGTACATATTAAGGCTTTTGGGCCCAAAGGCCATACTTTGGGGCTATGTTGATCCCTAGGGTAGTTGGAGGTTCAGGGTTATAGAGTATGCTACTGTCGAATAAGCCCTGCGCACGATTAAGAAGTTGGTCTCAAGTCGATATATAGCCCTCCTCAACAACAACCCTAAACCCTAATAAAACCCTAAACCCTAAACCTTAAACCCTAAACCCTGAAGCCCTAAACCCCTGAACCCTATAATCCCACTGTACCGGCTTCTGGCGTCCGATGACACAGCTTGCCCAGCTCCTCTCGTCTAAAGTGGTTACCTGGACCTGGACCCCAAAAGTATGTAGAACAATAGCCTTTATTAGGTTTTGGGCCATCATATTTTACCTACTTTTGGGGGTCTAGGTAAGGGTAAAGGGTGGAGGGTTTGGGATTTAGGGGTTCAGGGGTTGGGGTTTAGGGGTTAGGGTTTAGGGGTTCCGGTTTAGGGGTTCCGGTTTAGGGGTTTAGGGTTTTAGGGGTTTAGGGAGCAGAGTCTGCTACCTCACCCTACCGATGATGGTCAGCTGGATTTCAGGTTGATGGTGTGGCTATGATCTTGTTCAGGGTTTAGGGGTTTCGGGGTGTAGGGGTATAAGTAGGGTAATCTTAAGAACCGGAATAGGGTTTTAAAGTATATTAACTGCAAAAACAGTAATAAGAATGGGGAACCGTGCTGTTGGTAATTATTTAAGCCCGTATAGTATTTGGGGTAAATGTCGGTGCTGCTCAGTGGCATGGCCTGATACTCCGGCAGGTCAAAGAGCTGGAGGGGGATGAAGAGGATGTCCCGCATCAAGAACATCATGCCGAAAATGTCCCAAACGATCCTAGGACTTAAAGTTTAGGGTCTATGTAGGAATCCAATACGATCCTAGGGTATAGAGTTTAGGGTTTAGGCTGACCCGGATTCACTTTAATCCAAACTTGCCTAAACACCCTCACACCAAGCCCTGAGACAGGGATAGAAATAATCCCAAGGCCCAACCTACTTGTCGGGTATCAGGGGGAACTAAAGCTTAACCTTTTTGGAGATATAGGGACTATATAGGGACTCTACTACCCAAAAAAGGTTAAAGGTTACCTACTCGACTACTAGGCCCGAAACCCTATTCAAATCATGAGGGCACCTATGTACGCCCCTACAAGGGCCCTTGGCAAGCCAGGTCTAGGTTTGGGCGGGTGGGGTTCAGGGTTTAGGCCTTTGGGGCTCAACCAAGGTCTAGGATGCCCAGTAACCTAGGAATAAAAAGGGCTCACTTGTTGGTATTGGGTAACTTAATACGGAACCTAGGACTACAAAAACGGAATAAGGGTACTACTCGGCATCCTAGGGTCCTAGATGTAGGTACTTTTGCCAGGGACGTTGATGTTTGGAGTTGCGTACAGTTTTGAATCTCGATGCACCGGCCCGATAGAACTCTTCGGATCATGGAAACCCTCCAAGTAGAAGTAGTCGTCGTCGTAGTAGAAGAAGTGGTAGTAGTGGTAGTGGTGGTAGTGGTGGTGGTAGTAGTAGTAGTAGTAGTAGCAGCAGTAGTAGCAATAGCAGTGATAGTAGTGGTAGTAGTAGTAGCAGCAGCAGCAGGAGGAGGAGTAGTAGTAGCAGTAGTCGTGGTGGTGGTAATAGTAGTAGTAGGTTAGTAGGTTTATAAGTTTTTGGGTAGTGGTTGGTAGGTAGTAAACAGTAGCGTGCAGTTAGTACTTCGTGGTTCGCGGCCCGTAGCTATATTTAGTTAGCAGCTTGTCGTTTGTAGTCAGCAGTACGTAGTAGGCAATAAGATTCAGGTAGGAAACTGAACACACTACACAGTGTGAGCCAATATCAACATCACCATAACAATCATTCTCAACTTACCCCATCTATTCAGTATGGTGGGGACGACTATTGCTGGTATTGTTCGAATGACACCCACCAATGTGTCCACGAGCCATGTCAGACACGTATATGCATCTGTATACATATCTATATAATATATAAAGATTCAATTTGTATCTTGCTGATATTATGCATGCAAATACATGCATGTGACCTATTACAATGCGATGTAATGTATGTACGCATGTATGCGTATGTGTGCACATACATACACGCGCGCAGACTCAGCAAAACCTCAGTGCGGACTATACCTCATGTCAGCTCTATAGAGACTTAGAAGGCTGAGTTGTCCTTTAAGCCCTTTGAAATTATTTACTATTACGGTTCTCTGCAAAATCGTAGGGAAATTAAAAAGATCCCAAAGGACAACCCAGAAAGTTGCCGTATTATGGCAAACCTCTATGTTTCCAATAGCCTGGGAAGCCCGAATACAGCAGCAACAACCCTGCTTCATGTGGGAGTTTCGAAAATATGGGACCCCAATATAGCACCCTAACTAGTAGGATCCTTCGTCTAAGGACACCAAAGTAAGGTACCCCTCATTTTCGGAAACTCCCATATGCAGTAAGGTGTGCAATAGGAAAGTTGCTGAGTGTGTATAGGGCTCCATCTGCAAATTGGCGAGTGCTTAATGTCTAACTGGGGCTTGTTATGGGGTTGCCAGCAATACTTGGGGGGTCGGGGGGCTTAGTAAGTGGTTAGTAAGTAGACTTATAAGTACCCTAAAAGGGACCCTAATTGGTGTTATGGTACTTGTAAGTCCCTAAGATAACCAGTTACTAAGTCCCCCGACCCTCCAAGTAAAGACTGGAGGATCCATAGGCCTCCGAGCCCTCTGATCCCGAAGCCCTACACCCGGGCCCTCTGAGCCCTCTGTAATCAGTTTAGGGTTTAGGGTTTAGGGTTATAAGGGTACCCCGGTTCCTAACATTCAGTTTTAATATGGGGACTCTAAAACACAAAAGGGGCAAAAGGGCACTACTCAGGAACCCAACAAGCCCTCTGATCCCTAAACTCTACACCCTAAACCCAACAATTCCGGTAACATCAACCCCTACGGTTGATGATATACATCCTGCATTACCCATAAGAAGGAAAATACCATGATTCCCATAGTTTAGGGTCCTTGAGGTAACGCAGGATTCTTATCATCAACCCCTACTTCGGATGCAGAGGTAGCTGCCTCGGAGTGCAATGAGGATGGATGACAAAGTCCGCCCACCTCAGAAGCTGGGGCTGCAGGGCATGGGCTGTTCTGGCTCTCTTCGGGTTGAGGGTTTAGGGGGTTTAGAGTTTAGGCGCTTCGGCGTTGGGGCGTTTAGGGCAGAATGGTGCTCTACTTCTCCAGAAACATACTACTGGTCTGGTCTGGAAAACTGCCCGTTTCAGACTTCCCAGGTACATTCTGACGGCAAATGGGTGGTTGTCAAAATTAGGATCCCTTTGTGGGTCCTCATTATAATACGGCACCTAATATTTAGCTATAGGGTACCCAAAAAGGGGCCATAACTTTGACAACTACACAAATATACCAAGCTTTAGGGTCATATCATCATATCCTTTTTATGTACATTGGTTACTATAGGAATATAGTCCGTATAAGCGTTCTATGCGGGCTCTTGCGTAATGCAGGGTCCTTTCGCGACACGGCAACAAGCAATATATTGGCCTGAATAGTTTGGAACAGGGTCTTGGGGAAAAATTATATTATACTTATAGTGAGGAGCCCCAAAACAGCCGAAACCTTAGCCAGCTCGTGCGTTTAGGGAAGACCCTAAACCCTAAACCCTCAACTTGCCCGTGCCTGGAGTGACTCTCGATGCCGAAGGCTTTCAGGTTTAAGTCCTGCCATGGCGAGGCAAGAAGAGCGGCCCCAAAAAATTGACTACCCATAGGCCCCATAGCCCCTAAAGTCTTAGGAGTTAGGGTTACGTTTAGGGTTCAGGGTTTAGGGTTTAGGGAGCTACCCAAAGGCCCCATAGTAATTCCTTTTTGGGGGTTCATATTTCGAATCCTATAAGGTCATCCCAAAAAGGAAGTACTATGGGGCCTATGGGTAGGCGTACGGGGCTTAGCAAGGATTTGACAAGGTTTTGAGGGACTCGACAGAGGCTTCTCCTTTACGGACGCTATTTGATGGACTCGAGTGTCCTATAGCAGCCTTAGCGATTGGAACAGAGCTTTGGGGATAGTTTAAGCGGGTCGGGACTATAGACTGGATACGACTACTAATGCCGACTTCTATATACTTGGAAAGTCGGGGGCTTAGTAACTGGTCATTTTAGGGACTTATAAGTACCGTAACGCCAATTAGGGTCCCTTTTAGGGTACTTATAAGTCTACTTACTAACTACTTGCTAAGTCCCCCGACCCCCCAAGTACTAATGCCAAACTCTACATATTAGCTGATGCCCAGCATAGTGTTTAGAAAGGTCCGGTCAGCAATGCCTCTGCGAGGATGTTGAAATCCTTCTTTGGTTTAGGGTTTAGGGTTTAGGGGTTTAGGGTTTAGGGTTTAGAATCAGCACAGGGCGCCACAATGACAGGAAACCTTCTTCCAAAACTACAAATACATTCGAGCAAGTCCGTCTGCATGAACCACCCAAAGAACCCAACAACCCCTCAACCAGGAAATACACCGACCCAACAAAACACATTCGAAAGCACTGTGTACTTGCCCTAGGGGTCCATGTAACCAGATAATATATACTTTGGGCCCAATGTACTTCTATAGGGAGTACTTTAAGGCCAATGTATATGCTATTTGGGCACATGGACCCTTAGGGTTGGTCTTTGGCAAATTCGGAACTCGAGGCCATCATGGTAACACCCTAGAGGGTTCTTATGGAATTAGGTCCCATAAACGGCCACCCCCTTCTGCGGTGTTTGGGAACCTTGTGCTATGACGGTAGTGTATATGTATACACCCTAAACCTAAACCCTAAACCCGTAAACCTACTATATATATATATATATATATATAGACATGGACCTTCTGGGCTACAAATCCCGCATGATCCTTACCAAACGCCACCCTCAACCATAGCTCCTGACCTTGTTAGACCTTCCCTAAACCCCATGCACACCTCAAACCCCAAATGCAAACGCAGTGCAATTGGTCTTTTGGTGCTTTATGGCTTGGGCTTCGGAGTTGTTCACGGCGCCGGCCACCTCCCTGCCTAAACCCTATACCCTAAACCCTAAACCCCCAAACCCTAAACCCTAGCCGGCCACCCCCCTGCCCCGCCCGCCGGCCCCTCTTCCTACTGCAAGTGTTGTTTTATGTTTGCCATCCTGTGCTCTGCTTGGTTGTTGGGTTCAGGACCCCAATAACTAGGGTTTAGGGTTTAGACGGTTTTGGGATATGGTTGTAGGACAAAAACACAGCGCCTATTCCTTATGGGCCCGGCGGGTACTATGAGGAAACGGCCCATTGAGGTTACATCACCATTACAGGCACCCCCAAAAGGCGACATTATGTTTTCGATGATTGCCCTAAACCCCAAACGCTAACCCTACAGGCGACATGATATTTTGTTTGTGTTCTTGATGCGCATGGCTTTGTGGCTGCCCTTTGCTGCCTCCAGAACGGCCAAAAAGTGTAGAGGGCATAGAGTTAACAGGGTATAGGATTCAGGGTGTAGAGGGCTTGAAAGGAAGGGCTCGTACAAACCTCAAAGCGGCACAGAACTGGAAGTACCAGAAAATCTGAAACCCCAGATCTGTGTTGGTTGTCACCTGCTGGGAGCCGTTATTATCCGGCTTGAAGCTTCCCATGGTCCTTGGCGAGCGCCATGACTTTAGCAGAGCATTGGGCATAGGGCTTCGGGGAAAGCGTTCAGTAAGTCAGAGTTCCCTTGCAAGGAATTAGGGTTTGAGGTTGGGTACTGCCCCCCTTGCAGTAACAGTCTATAATCGGGCTACTATTCAGGGCCTAATCTATCTATATTCTGAGTATTATCCAACTGTCACTGAGAAGGGCAATACCCAACTTCCACCCCAACGCTCTCAACCCCACACCTCAAAAACCAATCCAAACAGCAAGCCCTAAGGGTCCAAGTACCTAATTATCATATGCTCTCCAAAATAGTGACCTACATAACTACTATCCTAAAACCGAGTACCTAATTATTGGGTCCTTTGGACCCTTGGGGCAGCGCTTTTATGTTTGAGGGGTTCAGGTCTCGAAGCCCACTACCCCTAACCCCACCACCTAAACCCTACAGAAGCCTTACTAATTAGAATACGGCTTTGGGCCCCTTTATAGTATATCTATAATAAGCAACCCTAAGGAATAATATTGGTAATCGGGCTTCCGCAGTATTTGTAAACCCGCATCCTGACGCTAAAAGCGTAAAACCTGGTGAGGCCAGACGACCACAAGCAGACCGAGCAGCGCGCTACAAGCAATGTAGGGGCACTGATTTAGGGTTTAGGGTGTTGTTCTACAGTTGTTATAAGGCGTCCCCCAAAAAATGGTACAGCTGATTCTTTAGGCCCGTAAAGTATGTGCACCCTAAGGCCAAGGCGTCTTGAAAATCAGGGCTGAACATGAGCATGCTCACATCTACATGAAACCTAGAAAGCCTAACCTCAACCCAATCCTAGAACCGAAGCCCCCAAACCGAAGCCCCTGAACCCTAACCCCAGTCAAGGTGGCTTCCTGCTGTTCTTGTTCCTTGTTCCTGCGGGATTCCGTGTGGGAGAATTTGCCAAATTGGCTTTCGTTGGGTTCATTCTTCACACGCGGTTTCTGGTATTATATAGGTCAATAAATAATAGGGTTCTTTGGAAGAGTTGTACAGATATGGGAGACAATATATGGAAGTGTGAGCATAGAGTAGGATCCTAAGGAAAATTACTCCATGGTAGAGATCCATAGTTAAAGCAACCTTTGCTCAAGAATCCCGAATGAAGATCATTCAAATATGATGCTCAAGCTTATTTTTAACGAACCCAAGCAAATCTTGGCTTGGAATGACAGCTTTCGATACAATTTTCGCAAGAATATCACAAGCCAAGCAGGATTTTCAGCCAAATAAGGCAATGAACATGCGGTGCCGGAGCCAAGAGCAGCCTTAGAGCAGAGGTACCACCAACAGCCACACTGGGAATAGCGCATCAACGTCATTGTGCACAACGTCATCGCAATCATTCTCATCTATATGTCGAAGGGGAAGGGAAGGGCAAGTGGCCCTGTGGTTCCCTGTGTGTTGTGGGCTATCCTTCCCCACCCCGCACCTATGGTTCTCTCTCTTGTGGTTGGGTTATCCCTCCCGCCCCACCGGAATTGCTAAGGCGGGAGGCCTTGCTTGCTTGTGGGGCGGGGCCGCGGGGAACGTCGACAGTTACGCAGATGACGTGTCACTGTTTGCTGGGACGAGAGGCCTGGCTTGGGGGGGGGGGGGGGGGGCATACCATGGGGGTTGGGGGGGAGGGGGGCTTGCAATGCGGCGACGCAGCAGCATATATAACATGTATACACTAGGCGTTTGCTCTAACAGCAACCCTTTTCGTCATCTCGGGCATACAAACCAACAGTTCAGACAAACAAATCAACAGTAAAGTCGCTGTTGGTTTGTGGGCTTGATTGGGCTTGAAATCGACAAATCAACAGTAGATTTCTGTTGGTCTGTGGGCTTGAAAACGACAAATCAACACTAGATTTCTGTTGGTTTGTGGGGCTTGAAAAAACGGCAAATCAACACTAGATTATACTAGATTTCTGTTGGTTTGTGGGGCTTGAAAACGACAAATCAACAACAGATTTCCGCTGGCTTGTGGGTTCGCGACAACAGTCCGGTGGCGGTTATTGTGCTGATTTACGGGCTTGGGAACGACAAATCAACGGTTCATGATATCTTGTGATATCTTGTTGAATAGGCTTGCAACGGACTCGGACTAATCAATAGCAGACCACAAACCAACAGATTTCGGCCGGAGATTTGCTGTTGATTTGTGGGCCCGGAAACAAATTGCCTGTTTCCTAATCAAGAGCTACAAATCAACAGTAAATTCCGGGGCTGCAAATCAACAGTAAAAACAGCCGGGATTTGCTGTTGATTTGTGGTCTCGGCAGTTTCCTGGCCCTGGAAAGGCCAAGCAGCAGTACATTAGGGCCTACAAAATTCAGTGGGGTTTTGCTGTTGGTTTGTGGGCCGGAAACACTCCGGGTTGCCACCCTCCACGATGAGTTCGGGGAGAGGAAAAAGACAAAGCCAAAGGAGTCCAGTATTACTTGTATAATATTGTGTAATGTGTTGGTTCGTAACCTTTACATCCACAAATTCGCTGTTGGTTTGTGGTCTTCGCACGAATTCGTTGTTGGCTTGTGGCGCAGCCACCACATACTGGCTGCCATGCTGAATGGACTGAATCTTGGGCGGGCTAATAGGCCCGGTAAAAGGTAGGCCCGGTTAAGTGACAGGTTTTGGCCTAGGGGGTCGTGTGATGGGAACAGCTCAAAACTGCGGGCAAAAGTGCACTGATATTCAGCTGTTTTGAAGAGTCCATTCTGTATGTTGTTTCAAGCTGTCCGAAGGGGCGAAATCTTGAAGATGTTGCTGCTTCTGCGGGCGCAAATGTGCGAAATCCGATGATGTATACAATAATTCTGTGTGGCATCCTGTGTGATCGTGTGAAACAGTGTGGAAGTAGGCCTTTTTGTTGTTTTTGGGCCCGAGAACTGTTAGGTCTTGAAACCATCTTTCAATGTAGGAAAATTGTGCGAGGCGGCACACATGCTGGCTGCAAAGCTATGAAGGGATCACTTTTTCTTGTTGATTGCATGCTTGTTTTTGCTGTGTTAGAAATTTGTCGGGAAGCGGGCTTTGTGCTGCACTGTAGGGGCTTATCGGGCTGGTGGAGAAAAATGGTCGAACTAGGAGGACAGTGAGGAGAGGAGGGGGCTGGGAAAAGGTGGTGTGGCCAGGGTTTCACACTTAAAGTATGTCGCCTGAAGGATGCCCACTCCGGTGGAAGTTGTTCGCTGCGGTGGGTTTTTAGGAACTCCAATTCCAGGTGAACTAAATGCTGCAATTCACGTAAGTTCCTGATTGAACTGTGGGTTTTGGAGGGGTCGGGGAGTGGGCCAGACGGAGGTCTGACCCCGGCGCCGAACGCCGGCTCTGCCAGAGGAAGAAGACATCGTCGATGGAGTACCTGCCCAGCACGGCTAGCAACTTTGTCGAAGGGCGGACGGGGCTTCGGGCAACTGCTGCAGACGTGTGGCTAGCGACCGTAGGGAAACAAACTGTGTGAAAGCAACTGCTTGACTGAACAAACTCCTTTTTTATCCGCCGGGCGAGAGACCCGAGAGTCGACAGTCTCCAAGAACCGTGCTCGAGGAGCTGTTCTCGAACGACTCTTGCTGCTTCCGTCCAAGACGACCAGTCAGGAAGGTCAGTCGCCGAAGGCGGGCCTGCCGATGGACCGCGAGGCCGACCGCTCTTTGTCCAGGATGCGAAGCAAGCCCGGCAACGAGAGTCGCTTCTCTGCCGGCACGAACGTCTTCTCCAGGACGTCCTGCATTGTCTGGTCGTACGGCATCAGCTTGAAGCTCCTCGCAGTGGCCATCTCCCGAATGGCCTTTGCTGTCTGCTCCTCGGTCTCCCGCACGAACGTCCCCGGCGGGACTGAGAAAAGCGAAGCTTTTCTGGGGCAGCACACCTCGAACAACGTGGCTGCGGCCGCCCAGACGTCAGCGGCGAACTTCACACGAACCTGGCAGGGTTTCTGTGATTGAAGCTCGGGCCTTCCTATGAACTGTTACATTGTCCGAAATAGGCTAGCTGCAAGGGTTCGGCAGAGGCACTGCTTAAAGAGACTGCAGGGATCAGAAAAAGAACTTTGAGCTTACGTCTTAAGGATTCCAGGGATATAGCTACGCCAGCAACCCATGCCTTCTGGCCGCCGGCCATGAGGCACTCCGGGCAGCGAAAGTCCAGGGTGTACACGCGATCGCCCACCACAGAGCAACCGTTCTCGGAGACCCCCTCTGCATGGCCGAAGTCGGCCAGGGCAGCTCTCTTGTCATCGAACACGAGAATGTTGGCGGGCTTCACATCGAGATGCATGACCGAACGCCCGTGCACGAAGGACAGGCCGAGGACGAACTGCGAAAAAAGTCCCAGCAGCGAGGCCCTGCCGGCCGGCGAGTTCTCCAGCCGATCGTCCTTGAGCCTGCGAGCTTTCGCATGCAGGCTCTCAGACGCCCTCTCGAGAACCAAGCCCGGCCGGACCAGCGAGCTCGTGACAACGGCGAAAGCTCGAACGACGTTGGGGTGCTGCCCCAGGGCCGTCAAAACGGCGAACTCTCCTGAACGTCGATGCCGGTTGCTGCCGCTTGCAGCCCCCGACCTTTTGTCAGCTTCACTGCAACCGGAAGGCCTTCGAAGGTGGCGAAGAAGACCTCACCGCTCGCCCCACGGCCGACCGGCTTGAAGTCACGAAGCGAACGACCCAAAGTCCAGGTCCAGGTGTCCGCCTGCACTTCCCGAACGGCAAGGTCAGCTTCCAGGTGGGCTTCGGCTTCTGCTTTTCGAACGACCTCGGCCTCGTCGGCAGCGACTTGCGGCGAAACATCGCCGAACGACTGGGCCTTTCTGTATGCCTCGGCCTTCTTTCGGTTGTCCTCGTACTTCGCCTGAGCGAGTGCCGCGAACTTCTCCCGAATGTCCTTGCTTTTTCGGTGGTTCCTCAGTGCAAGGGAGGTTGATTCTCGGAAAGCTTTAAACTGTGTGCGACGGCAAGGGGAAAGTAGTAGGGCCCTTGCTCACTAGATTTGCTAAGGCTGCTGAAGCTTGCTGGCCTTGGGGAACCTTCAATTGGTTCTAGGTGCAATCTGGGACAAAATTTTCGGAGGACTTCCCTAGTAGTCTTAGTGCAACCCTATCGGCCGATGCAACAGTTTCAAAAGCCAACCTTGGGCCTCCTTGGGTCTGTAGCCTGTCGTTTGAAAAGCCCACTCCTTGCAACTGTATAAAATCCTTAGGAAAAAGCTGAAACGCACCTGAAACGCACCTGGAAAAAGCTGAAACGCACATAGAGCTACTGAAAGGGTTCGAAAGGTTCGGTTTTGTGGTTTAGGGTATAAACTTTAGTAGGCCAAGAGGGCTTCAAGTGGAGGCTTTGCGAAGGTGTCAAACTGACTTGGAACCCTAAACACCTCCCTAAACCATCCAAAGCAATATAAAGATATCATGGTTTAGTCAATGTTTGGCCGTATCTGCTAACTAAATAAAACAATCCCAGGATCCACTTGAGCTTCATCGCTGCCTTCTCCCGGAGCATCCGCTTCCCGCGAATGCGGAACTTCGCAGCCCGAGAGACCGTCAGGCCTTCCCGAGCGACCCACGAGTTAAACAGGGCCCAGGCGCTTGCGGACCTTTCGCCACCTGTCTCCGCCAAAGTGGCCCGTCCCATGGTGCTTCTCCTATAGTGACTAGACGAGGTTTGAAAAGAAGACGCTGCAGAAAAACAGGGTAGAGCGAACAAGAACTGCTGCTATACTGCTTCTGCTGCTGCAAGTGTGACGGCCCAAGACTTGTTTGCAGACGAACCTCCTGTAAACCCCATACCCTGAAAAAACTTAGAGAAGTTAACTGCAACGGCTCACTCCCACACAGCAAAGCGAAAGTTCCCGGAGTGGCGGCCTCGTGCTTGGAACAGAGAGCAGGAACGGCCGGAGCTTGAACGGAACTGCGATGACCTGGGCGAAGCAAGGCTTTCTTGTGGAAGACGTCTTCTCAAGAACTCTGGCTTTCGCTACAGCAAGCAGGACAAAACGCCGTTTCTGCAAGCTCTGCACTCGTTGCCCGGACGGCCGCTTTACTCCGCAGTGAAACTACCGGAAAGGCCCAGTGGATTCTCGAACGTCCTTCTCTGCCATCGCACGTCCGGAAATCCAGGCCTCAAGCCGCCAACTTCTGCAACAGGCCTGCTGCCTCCTCCGGCATCGGCAGGCCGTCGAAAGTCTCCGCCCACTGCCAGCCTTGGCGAACGGCTTCCGCTGCGGCATTCCTACTGCCCACGGCAGTCCACGAAATGCTGCGAGTGACCTGAGCCCAGACAGTCCTGTACGTGAGACGCCAGCGGCCGTTGTAGTCGTCCCGATACACTCGGACGGCTGTGGGAACGCCGACCTTCACGACTTTGTCGATGTCCGAGCTGAGGGCGGCATAGCACCGCTTGATCGCAGCGGCATGGTCCTTCTGCTGCTGCGATGCCTGCTTCTCTTTGGCCTTTCGAGCTGCCGCTGCCTTTTTGTACTCGGGTCGGCTGGCAAAGGTCTTGGCGACGGCCTCGAAAGTCCGCGAGACCCGCTTCCGGATCTCCACGGCAGTCTCGCGAGCGGCTTTCCGCTTCGCAAGTTGTTGGAGGGCGACGTCCTGGTCGGCCGCCAACATTGTGTCTCGCACGACCTCTGTCAGATCGAGCTCCCCAAACTCGCCCGACCACGAGGCCACGTCCTGGCGAAACAGGAGACGATTGACCACGTCGTCCTTCGTCAGAGTTGGCTGGAGAGACAAGAGGCACACCACGGCGAGGCGGTCGTCCTCCTCGTGGCCAGTCTCCTCAGCTTCGGCCGGCCATCCCTTCACCTCTGCGAGTCGTCGCAGACCCCACTCCGGAACGCCTGCGAAGCCGAACTTCTCGTGGTGCTGAAGCAAGGAACATCGGGCCTGCACCCGAAAGACAACTCCCATGGCCCGGGTCTCACCGAGAGACACGAGACCTGGCGGAGAATGCGCTTTTTGACTGCAGCTTACATTCGGGTGATTCTGCTCGTTGCTGTCACGCCGTGGGTAAAGTCTAAAATATCGAAAATGTATAGAAAACCCTACGAAAAAGCTGAAACGCACCTGAAACGCACCTAGAAAATGCTGAAACGCACATAAACGACTCTAAAGGGTTCCCTGTGCTGGATTTTGGGGTTTAGGATTTAGGAAGCTATAGCCTAAGTGAATATTTACTACGGAATCCATACTAAAAACCAGAGATTTGTGGGCCAGGCCACGTTGTGGCGAGGTCGCAGCCAAGTCCAGAACGTCCACGGCCTCGTCGAAAAGGTGCACCCATCCGACCTGTGGGTTCTCCAGGTCCAGGCTGACGATGTCTCCGGCAGGGGAAGCCTGCAACTTGCCGGGCCAGACGAGAGCCGCTCGCTTGTAGCTGCGAACCACGTACAACGGTGGTCCAGTCGGAAACTGCAAGGCATGTCCCTCGGGAGCCAAGGCTGCCCACCATCCCTTCTCCACGAAGGACCAGTCCATGTTCTGCCGAATGACCTTGGTGAGCAGCGAGAACCCAGCCAGCTTGTCCTGTTCCGACTCAGGTGTGGGAGAGGCCCACGTCCTCGGTTGGCTAACGCCCTTCAGAAGGTCGTCCTCGAAGGTCTGGTCCGTGAGGCCCTCCTCCTGCTCCTCGCGAACGGCGGCCGACGAACTGCCCGGGTCCGTGCGGAGCCGCTTAGGCCGCACGAACCACGGATCGGCCTCGAACTTCGCGGGCACGGTCGCCATCCGGCCGCTCGGCACCTCTCTCCTGTGATACTGCTCCAGGAGCTTCTTTCTCGAGAGACCGTGCCAGCCCTCCAAACGACCCAACGTCTTCGAAGTGCCATTCCGCTGCTCGGCCTCACGTTGGACCTTGTTGGCGTCCTCCACGAGCTTCGAGTTCAGCAGGCCGCTCCACGAACGGCGAAGCCACTCGAACGTCCCCGGCGGAACCTCCACGAACGACGCCTCCCGCAACTCGGACAGCAACATGGCCACAGGGTGGCCGTCCAAGAGGAGCTTCGCCTCCAACGACCCCTCGGCCTGCACACGCTTGACCGTGCGATCCACCTCTTCCAGAAAGCGAAGGCTGGACTGTCGAAGGGCGGCAGACTCGTGCAGCAAGCCGGCCGATGCTCCCCAGCCGTTCGTGGACCCCAGCTGGCTGCCGCAACGATATCGCAAGAGACGGTGTGTCAGGCGAACGACTCTGTGAGCGACTGCATCCTGCCACGCCAGCGAGTCCTCTCGAACCTCCTCCTTTGGCAGCTCGAAGGACATGTCAAGGCCGATCCGCTTCAGAGCGGCCAGGTTGGACAGCTTGGCGACGTGCTCGCGAGCGACCTCCATGTACTGCCAGTGAGCCCAGTTGGCATACTGGCTCACGGTGGCCTCGGCCGCCCGAAGGTCTGCGAGCATCGTGCTGCACCGAACGTTCTCCGGTTGAAGCACGAAAAACACGGACCTGGCCAGCGACCGATTGTCTTGGTTGCACGCGAACATCGTCATCCCGTGCAAGACGTTCACCGAACGACTCCTCTGCTGCTGCAGAGCCTTGCGAGCAGCAGACTTGGCGGCCGCCCTGGTCGTGCCGGCCGTCGTCGTCTCGGCCATGCCAGCGGAGGGCGACCACAACTGGGACGCCGTCGTGCACCAGCCCTCGGCCACGCAGAGAGCGACCAGCACGAGGCAAAAGGCCGACCACTCGCCGTCGAGCTCCGCATGGGCCTGCGAGAGACTGTTGAAGCGAGACTGCGAGGCCTTGCTGCCCTTGCTTCTCACGACCGACCTGTTTGGCAGGCTCTCCAGAAAAGCACGTCGCTCGGCCTCGTTGTTGTCCTCTTGCGAACGGCCTTGGTCCTCCAGAATGTCCGGAAAGAAAGTCAGCAGCAACGGATCCGAAGGGCTCATCGAACGACTCATCTCGTCCGCCATCGTCTGGACCTTGCCGAACCACGTGCCCTTGTTCCATGGGCCGTAACGAACGTTGTAGAGGCCGATGGACACGAGGCCGAACGTCAGCAGACCGGCCGCCGCCATCGCGAGGTTCACGTCGTTGTGGGAACGGTGAGCCGGGTCGTTGACGTGCTCCACGAACAGCGAACGGCCGAACTTCAAGTAGTTCACGGCCGCCAACTGAGTGGCCTCCTGATCCGTGCAGAGGATCAAGACACTCGGCCGGCCTGCCTCGCTCGTCCGTCGGAAGGACGAGAAGCCCCAGCCAACGACCGCGAGGCTGTGGGACATGTCTCGGAGCCACTCCTGAGTGGCCAGCCTCTCCGGCTCCTTGTAGCCGCCTGTGGTCTTCGCTGCCGACCGACCTTTGGAGCCGGCCTTCTGGAAGAACTTCGTGATGCGGCCCTGCCACATGTCCACCCAGTCGTCCGACGTGATGGCCGTCCCTTTCTTCACCTGTCACAAGCAAAACTTTGACTCCAAACTCTATAGAGATTCAGGCTTGGGGCCCCGGAGAGAAGTGTTGCTACAGGAAGAGTTCCTAAGGGCTCTGAATTGCTTCTCTAAAGGGCTAGGAATCCCAAAGCAACAACAGCAGCTGGATACTTTGCCCGCAAAAAAGCAGACATAGACTGTACTGCCTTACAATTGACGATACATACCTTACGGCACTGCTGTTGGTTTGCAGGATTGTGCTCCCTTTGTGATCAGCAGTTGCAGTCAGGACACAAAGCTTGGATGCTGTGAAAACCTTCTCCGACCTCATACCAGGGAGGCCAAAAAAGAGTCCATTTTTGGCCAAAAATGGACTCGTTTTGCTATAAAAAAATTAAGCGCGGTTTGACGTATGGTTGTGCCAGGGATTCCTTAGGCTCGGTTTACTGTATGGTTTTGCTAGGCGCGGTTTGCTGTATGGTTTTGGCTGGGAGCCCTGGCCTCTTGCTAGAAGGGAATGGCGGGGACCTGGCCAAACCGGGACCCTGGCGAAAAGCGAAAAAGGCAGGGTTTACTGTATGGTTTTTTAGGCGCGGTTTACTGTATGGTTTCTTAGGCTCGGTTTACTGTATGGTCGACCTTAGGCGCGGTTTACTGTATGGTTTTATGAGGGCCCATTTACTGCAGAAATTTGCCAAAAAAACGCCTCCCCAAAGCATTGCCCAACCCTCTCAGTCTGCCTGTGGCGGGCAAAGGAAAGACACGTCCTCGCTTGTGTCGCAGAGGAAAACGTTCAGCCAGTCCTCCTGTCCCACGTGGACGGCATCAGCGACGACGCTGAGAACGGGAGCCTGTGCCAAAACCGAGCGACCAGCAGCGACGTAGGACAACCGCTCGGCCTCGAGGAACTTCGAGGGTCGTTCCCTGTTTCGCTTGGTCTCGCCCGCCCCCGAGCCCGAAGCGAAATGGCCCTGAGCCATGAGAGCCGCAGCGATCGATGGGCCTGCCTGTCCGCCCGCTTCCAGAACGGCCTCTTGACAGCCGTGCGACGATCTCCGATACCCTCGGGCCGTCCTGCAAGGAAGAACTGCCATCCCTCACAAAAGATACCCAAAACCCTAAGAAAAAGCTGAAACGCACCTGAAACGCACCAGGAAAAAGCTGAAACGCACATAAACACCTTTAAAGGGTCCTAGTTTGCTGGTTTTGGGGTTTAGGGCTTATTTGTAAGTAAAGAAAAGCATTAGCCAGACTTCGGGGTCCTCAGCTGGTCCAAGGCATCCACTCGAGTGGTCGTCCAGAGCGGGTCGCCCACTGAGTCGTCAATGGCCTCTGCGAGAGACCGAACCAAACGACTAAAGATCTTTTCTGCCATCCTCCTCCGGTCCTGCCCCAAACTCCTGCGAACGGCATCACCCTGCAGAATTCTCAAAGCATCCACCGCCGAAACCTTCTCCTGCTTGTTGAAGATTTTCGCAGCCACCTGGCCGTGCTCCTTCACGAGAGGCTGGACCGACACCTCGCCCTGCACGACCACCACTGAGCTTTTTCGAATGTCCTTCCAGAAGGTGTCTCGCATCCCTGCCAGAAAGGCCTCTGCACGGGCCTGCACATCCTGTGGGTCCAGATTCCACTTTGCACCCTTACGAGGGCCCTTTGCCATAAGCTGGGCTAGCCAACAAATGCATGCGAAGGACGACAGGCTAAAGTCGCCCCTGTGGATTGGCCCGTCCTCGGCCGCCTCCTCGTCGTCCTCAGGATTGTCCTCCTCGTCGGGAGTGGCCTTCCGCTTCTTGGCCACGGCCGTCTGAGTCTGCTTGAGCATCATGCTGGACGTTGTCATGTGATCGTCCGCGACCGGCATCTCGATGGCCTCCTCGCCGCCGTCCGCCGCCGAGCTCATAGCCTGAACTTCCTCGTCGGAGGACGACAGGCCATCAAAAATGACGGCAGCGGTGCGATTGCCTATGGGCTCCCGCGAACGACCGGCTATGTTGGACACCTCCGAACCGCCCAGAAAATCGACGATCCAGCGGAAGACCCAGAAAAAAAGACCAGGCTTTGAGCGACCGTCCCGAGCGGGGACGGGGGTGGTGTACTGGTACACCTCACCCTTGAACGACCCCTGACGGCCGCACGGGAGAACGATCGCCCTGACGACCCTCTCCGGTGCCAGGGCCTGTCTCGGGCCCGCCCCTTCCACAACGGCCTCTGCTTCACGAACGTCCCTTTCTCCGGCTGCCTCTGCTTCTGGCACGACCGCCATGATCACGGCTGGATTGACACGATTAAGCTTACCGGCTAAAACCTGCTAGTCGTGTCTGTCTCTGCCCGTGCAAAGGTCTTTGGGTCTGCAACTGCAAGTGCTTAGGGCCCCTTTAAGGGGCGAGCCTTCCTTGAGCAGGGCAGCTTTGTTCGCAGCAAACGCCAAGGCACTGCCCGCAGAAAGTGAGGCACAGGACAACGAAGGGCCGAGCACCGGGCCGCTGGGCCAGCCTGTCCGGAGTTGGCTTGGTTTTGCTTTGGATTGACACTAGAACTGCGAAACGCCGCAAAAACCTTGGAAAAACCCTGAAAAACACCTGAAATGCACCTGGAAACTGCTGAAACGCACATAATCTACTGAAAAGGGTTGTTGTCCCTAACCCGGCAGCCCTTAACGCAGAAAAGTGTCCACTAGAGGCACTACTCATCGAACACGGCCCAAAACACTGGAAAAAAGCTGAAAAACACCTGAAATGCACCTAGAAACTGCTGAAACGCACCTAAGCGACTTGAAAGGGTTCTTTTTGCTTCCTGTGCATCCCCAATGTAGCCGAACTACAGGATCCCCGCAAAACTTGCCGTTGTCTCGAACAACGACAACCCGAGAGACTCACACTGGCTCACTCGTCCTTCTTCATGACCCACTTGGCCTGGGGATCGATGGACCGCAAGTGGTCGAACAAGGTACGGCAACCGAACGACAAATGCGGGTTGGCCTTCGATGACACCCTGGCCGTCGGCTGGCTTTCGTCGTCCAGAACCCACTCGTCGCCCGCGACCGCGAGCGACGGAAGGCTGGCCGACTCCCCGTCCAGGGCATTCGTTACCTGGTCGCCCTCCAAGGTGAAGCACTGGAGGTCGAACTCCGAGGTCACGTGGGGTGCCACACGATGCTCGCCGAGGGTCTCGAACCGCTGCTTGGCCATCTTCTCGAGAACGTCGAAGGACCGAGCACCGGCCGGCAACGGTGTGTCGGGGTCGACGAAGAACTGAACGACGAAAAAGCCGTCCAGAACGTCGGCCGACACACCGTTGGACTCAATGGCGACGCCGATCTTCGAGAGCATGTGCACCTTCGCCTCCTCCGGCAATTCACCGAACGTCTTGGCTTTGCCGGCCCACTTCCGGGGCTGGGTCCGACTGTCCCCACCGCCGCCCTCGGCCGACGACTGGCCACTCTTGAGCAAGGTCTGCAAGGCACCGTCGCGAATCAGGTCCGCGAGCGGCCTGACCCACCCAGGATTGTCATCCAGTGCCGAGTCCACGAACGCCCGTGCTCGCTCGAACGACGACTCAGCGAAGGTGGCCATGCTCTTGGCGAACGTCTTCTCGGCCTTCTTCTGCATCTTCGCTTCCTTCGCACGTCTCCGAGCGGCTGCCTTCTCCTGCTGCTTCTTGGCGGCCGTCGCCTTCTTGTCGCTCGCCCCGGAGGTCCTTCTGGCCCTGGCAACCATGCTAGCGACCAACGACGACGAACGACGACACGAACGACCGCCCGGAGTCTGGAGTGCTGGACTTTTGCCAACGAACTAGGTGAATCTCACTTGCTACCCTTGAGAATGAAACACCACCGAACGCCGGTACTCACTGACCCTGGGCTTTGCAATGCGACTCAAACCCAAATCCGATGTGTCCTTTCGTGGGAAACCTTGCCTATTCGAACGACAAATTACACCTGCTGTCCTAGACTCGAACGACTCCGCTTGTGGCTCTTGACTAGGAGATCCGATGATAACTCGAGCTACTGATTCAGGATACAATGTAGGGCTCGAGCTTTGGGCTTAAGGTGTTCACTTTATAAGGCTTAAGCTATTATGCCCGAAATTTAACTAAACCTTACCAAACCAGCCTCCCGAGCGACCCTGCAGCATCGTTCCGAACGGCCGTGATGTGGTAGTACCTCCCGAGTTTAATATTATATTTATAGTGTCATTAAGTACATCAAAAGTTTCATCAGGTTTGAGATATAGGGAAAGGGTGCAGGGGCTTGTGTAAGTTTTTTGTGTAGTTAGTTAAGGGCGATGGTTTTGTTTATAGTATATAACTAGAATAGAAGAGTTTGGGATTTAGGGTAAGGTGTTTGGGATATATAGGGTTTGGTAGGGTTCCGGGTTTCAGGGTTGGGGTTTGCTTTATTCGTTTTTTAATGGGCTGGTGTTGGGCTTTGTTTATATTATTAATACTGGTAGTGTCCAGGCGAATGAATGATCTCTGTTGTGGTGTGGTGTTTTTATAATTGGATGTTTAATTGGGTTTTGATTTTGGTGTCTGGGCTTTATAATTTATTAATGTAAACTATTTAAATCATGAGTTTAATACAACTTATTTCTATTTATAATATTGTTATTCGTATTACTATTTAAAGTGGCAAATGCAAAGCACTCGGCACGCACACAGCTCGCACTCAGAAGCCCCAGGAACACAGAACTTCACCGAACGACCAAACCCACCGAACGCCGAAAACTCCCCGGGCACACGCCTGAGCTCGAACGTCCAGCACCTGGCACGAAAGGCGATGGCAGCATGACATGATGTGAATGCACGACCGAGCACACGCCGAAGCAGCTGCAGCTTTTTTTCTCCACCCCTCCGATTCCAGGCAACTCCACTTGCCCGGCAGGCCAAAACTGGCTCCCGAACTGCGGCCGCTGTGGCAAAATGTCGGGATTCATACTCGAGGGGCCGCCTGAGATGATGTGCGAAGTCTGCAAAAGAAGAAGAGGAACACACACACATGCACAGAACATGATAGAGAAACCAAGGCACTCCGAACGACCCACTAACGGCGATCGTCGTACCGGCGACGGCGAGGGTCCTGGAGTTCTGTTTCAGTAGTTGTAGGGGGTGCAACATGCAGCCACGCAAAAGCCTTCGATTGCAGTCAAGTGGCCGGCTCATAGCGATCGTCCCAACGTGGGGCCGGGCGGCTCGGATGGCCCGGGTCCGAGAGGCGATCGCGATCGTCGTAGCCACCATAGCCACGGTAGTCGCGGTCACGATCGGCTCTCTCACGATCCAACCGATCACGCTCGAACTGCCTCTCGCGATCTGCCCGCTCCGCTCGCTCTCGATCGGCCCTGTCACGGTCGTAAGGGCTCTGGTAGGCACGCCAAACGTCTTGCTCATCGCGATACCGGACGTGGACTCCGGGGACGAGTGGCCTCATAACCTCAGTTGAATCCATCAGTACTAATGCAGAAAAAACACAGTCGAACTGCAGACCCAATGAATACAAGTCACGGCGGCGGTCCTCCTCTCGCTGCTGATCAAACTCGTCGTAGTGCGGCCGGCCACGCCACGAACGACCACTACCGCCGCCCTTGCCAGGACGATCGCCTCAAATGTGCATTGAAGTTGACTAACTAACTAATGTGAATGCTACATGTGTTATATTAAATCCGAGCGACCAGAGGATCCCGGCAGACCCGCAATTTCGGGCCGCAGCCTGTCCAGCTCTTTTCGGCAGGCACTCGTGATGGCGGCCGACGGGTTCGAGTACGTGGCGAGATCCGTGTTCTCGCCTGGGCTTCAAGAGTTGCGAGGCCACGAACGACGACAAGAACAAGTCACAATCCCTCAAACCACGAAGCCGAGAGTCGCTGCAGCACCTGGAAAATCTCCCTCACGAACTTCGCACCGTCCGTGCTGTGCCCTGCCAAGTTGCCGACCGCCTGAATTCATGGAGTTATGACAGTGTCATTTGAGTCATGTCAAGCAAATCAAGGACTCAATTAGAACTGCTATCGAGAGGCCCGCATGCATTTTTCATCGAGCCGTAGCTCGTCCAGCTCCAGAAGGACCCCGGGTGCCACACGCCAAACGTCCAGTCGAACCTGAGGGATTCGAAGCTAAGGGTATCATTATTATGATTTCTGGAAACAACAGCAACTTATTTAAGCTGAGAGGCGGCATCGAGCAGCGGATTTCCTACCGAAGGCATTGCACCCACCAGGTCGGAAGGATCGAACGTCCCGTGACCCACGTACATCCCGCCGGGCGGAGTGCGAGGTCCCGGAACGCCCGTACCGGTAGCCGGTGGCCTGGCCGGTAGGCCCCTCGACTCATTGCGAAAGGCCTCCAGTTGGGTCATGACGTCCGGCGGCAGACTGGCCACGCACCACCACTCATCGTGTGCATCGCCAAAGCTTGGCAACCAGCAAGGCACACGAAAGACCGCCGACAGAGAAACGGCCAGAACGGCCGACCTGTTCTTGCCATGGCTGCCTCGGATGAACTGCAACAGCAAAGTGAAGACAGAAAGCCCGCACAGGAACGACAGTGTCAGCTCCACAACAAAACACGACTTTTTGATTTAAGTGCATCCAGCGACAGATAATCTGCAGCACCGAACGGCCGTCGACCTTGTAAAGGCCCTCCAGGACTGTGCACAGCAGCATGAAGCAAGCTTGAAACTCGGGCTGCTGGAACGGCCCATTGAATGCCCCGAACTTCATCAACGGGTTGCCTCCCACGAATGAAGTTGGCTCTTAAATTATAACTACACAAAGCATTTCATGACTGACTACTTTGCATGAACTAGACATGGCCTGGCACGCTTGCCGCACGAGCGGCCGTGTCCGAAACCCAAATTCCACGAACGTCGATTTGGCACTGGGTGGCATTGCATTCGTAGAATCGCCGTTTGATGAAAGCTGGCATACACGAGTGGCCTTTCTGACCTCAGACCGTGCATAGAAGTTCGCATCGAGCTACAGCTAACTCCCAGCAGCTATGTCAAGTCATCACTTTAAGACACGGCACGAATGGCCCCCGAACGCCCAGTAGTGCTGTACTGTTCCTCGGCACCGTAGGCGATGAGGAGCGGCCCCGAGTAGTACTCGCCTTCATCGATCGGCAGATCGCACGGCTCGTACTGCAAGTCGTCATCATCACCACCGCCCGAACTACGAGGCCCGGAACGTCCGGCCATGATCGCAGTCGAAGTTCGCAAAATGCGAACGACCCCTAAAACAGACACCAAAAACCGAACGGCCTGAAGACCGAACGACCTATTCCGAATGACCCCAGAAATCACGATGTGCAATAAGAGCTGTGAATCTGAAATCTGTCTGCGAATGTGTAAATGCTGTGACATGAAACATCAGGACTTCCGGCAGTGTCTTGAAGCAAAATGCTGAGAACACTCGGCCATGACGAGCTGCAAAGAAGACATGTCAGAATGCTCAAATGCCCTCCTGAGTGCAAGCGAACTGCAGGCAAAACCCTAATCATGCCACGGGCACCAACCGGAGACCAGGTGCTCGTCGAAGACGACCAGGTCGAACGACGAACGCCCGTTCCGAACGACCCCTGGATTAAATCCTTGAAGCTAAGCTTTTTAAAACCTTCTGTTTCAAGCTCTCCTCTGAAACCATATATTTCTCGATAACTTTTATCACTTGCACCACCCTATCCCGAAACTACACAAAATCATTTCCCGCAAACAACAAAAAACCTGTATACCCGATGCCAAACCCACAAATCCTGTAATATAAACTGCCCAAAACCCCCTACTCGTCGATACTTACACCGGCCCGGCCCCCAAACCCCCAAAACCATACGCTAAACCGAGCCTGCTTCTAAACCCTGCTAATTAGGCTGCCTGAGAATCAACCTAAATAGAAACCATGCGATCTCCTTTTAGAAGCAACCCTTAATATATAGATAGATACATACATCCATACATACATACACACTATAAGGACCAGCATCGCTGATGCCAAAGACCGCCGACGCATCGTCTGCGCAGGAGAGCTGGCGTTGTCGATGTTCCTGGGGGGATGAAAAAATTGGGCTAAGGGGTTGAGGGTTCAGGGTGAGCTACTGTGAACTTCGAAAGCTTGGTAATTGGGACCACTGCAGTAGTGCTATTGCTGCTAGAAGTAATACTTGTGCTCGTCGTCCTGGTCGTAGTCTTAGAAGTAGTAAGAGTGGTTGAGCAGCAGCAGCAGCAGCAGCAGCAGGAGTAGTAGTAGCAAGAGTGGTTGTTGATGTTGTTGTTGTGAGCAGTAGAAGAAGAAGCAGCTGCAGTAGTAGTCGTCGTCGACTGCTACTTCCTCTTCGACGACTGACCCTGCTACCACTACCATCATCACCACCATGAGTAGCCACTATACTTCCCTTCTCTCCAGCTCTCTCTTTCTCTCCCGCTCTCTTTCTTTCTCTCTCTCTCTCTCTCTGTCTCTCTCCTTGCCTTGTCTGTCCCTGGACTTTATCGCCTCGCCGCCTGTCTCTGCACATCTCTAACTTCATATGAACCAGCCCTACGACAGCCCACAAGCGCATCTTGCCGTCTGTCATCACCTGTCAATCTGTGACTCCCGTTTAGGGCTTTAAGGGTTAGGTTTAGGGTTTACAGTTTAGGGTCTGTGACATGCCAAGGGGCCAAAAAGAGCGTGGAACCAAGCCATCGTTCCAACTGTCCTTCGAAGAAAGCGGCTTCACACACCTTCGACCGGAACCTAAGGATGCCGAAACAACCTGGACATATTGCAATGTTCACCATGGTAGCATAGTGGTGGTCCTGAAGCGGAGACGAGTGACGATCACCATAGGGATAATTACGGCGATGCTGCCGACGATGATGGTGAAACATATAGCTTGCTGAATACGACTACAGTGCTGATAATGTGATGCTAACATGCCTGGTGGGATTACCGATGATGACGATGATGATGAAGCAGCCACTATCTGATGAGGATGAGGCTGGTAACTAGTAAGCACCTTGCAACATTGAGAAAGTGGCGGTGGTGGTGGTGGTGGTGGTGGTGGTGGTGGTGGTGGTGGTGGTGACGTGTTGAGACCGGTGGTGAATCATGTTGGGAAAACCGGACGACGAAGAGGATTTCAGGGCTGTAGACGACCGTGATGTTCCTGATGAAAAAGGATACAAGCAAACTGCCGAAAATGGCGGTGCTCATGATCAGGTCATCACCATTCCCGCCATGATGGCAACAACGGTCGCTACTACACTTGCCATATCTGTCGCCACGACTCCCATTGTGCTTGCTGCTGGGAAACAAGGTGTAATGATAATGGCATAATGATGATGATGATGGTGATTTCGGTGATGATAACGGTGATGATGATGATTATGATGATGATGATGGTGATGACGTGATGATGACGACGATGATGATGAAGATAATGGCGATGGCTTTGATAATGATACTTGGGCTGGTGCTGCTGGTGCTGCCCATGCTGGGGGATACGGATGGCGATGCAACTGGTGATGCTGTCGATGATCATGTTGTTGAGGATGTTGTTGATGCTACTGATGATGATGATGGTGATGATGATGACGGTCTTGATGACGACATGATGATGATCATCATCAGCATCATCACCGGCAAGCCCTCTGCTCATATCAGAACGTGAGAAGTTGTAGAAGAGCCACGGTTCCAGTCCCCGTCACTTGGGTGGTTGTCAAAATGCGGGTCCCTTTTTGGGTCCATATCATCATATGGCACCTATTATTTAGGGTAACTACCAACAAAAAGAGACCATAATTTTGACAACCACCCACTTGAATACCCTGCATCCTAGATCTTTTGCCCGCTCTCCTTCGAGGTGAGGTTTAGGGTTCAGGGTTTAGGGTTCTGAAAGGTAAACCAACTCATAGGCCCCAAAGTAGTTCCTTTTTGGGATTACCCTCTTGCCTCCTTCGAGGTGCGGTTTAGGGTCCGCAGTTTAGGGTTTTGTATACTGTCCTTCGAGGTGGTGCTCTCCTTGATGTTGGGTTGCTCGAAAATTTCAGCGGGCATCCTGCAATCCAGCGCGAGCTTACGTTCAGTGATTGGGTTGAGGGTTTAGGGTTTAGGGGTTTGGGGGTTTAGGGTTTAGGGTTTAGGGGTTTAGGGTTTAGGGTTTAGGGGTTTAGGGTTTAGGGTTTTAGGGTTTAGGGTTTAGCTTACGTTCAGCGATTTTTTGACAGGCTGTGCCGTAATTAGGTCATCGGGGTCTGCGGAACCGCTGCAACCCGCCAAAATTCTGACCAGAAGACCGGCAGAACAAAGCTAAGTAGCAAGACCCAACATCACTCAACCCTCAAACAACCTCCACTCCGCTGCCCTACCCCTTCCCATGAAGCCGATAAACACTGAATGCGGAGAACTTCGAGGGGAAAGGAGGAGAAGGGCGAGACAGTCATCCAATAGTGTGGAAGAACCCTGCCTCTCTTGTTCAACAACCGGGCCCCAAAAAAATCAAACTCTCTAAGATAGAGTCAGCTAATATATGAGGCCAAAAAGTTTAAAGTTCCCCCGTTCACTATCTAAGCTGCACTCAGAAAAGGCGCATTGCTAATTAAAGCAGCCGGCTGGCTCTTGCTATACCACCCCAGATACAAGGCTACAAGCGCATGTACCCGCCTTGGGGGGGTACCCCTTACACCCCAGCACCGAATCGAGGGGAGAATCGGCTCTTGAGGTATATGACACCATACTAGGCGCATAATGATGCTAATTACTTACCTTTGGTTAGTAGGGACTGGAAGAACGGTCCTAATGGTAGTTATAGTTGTACCCCATTCCTCCATTCCTTACTAACCAAAGGTAAGTAAACCCTAATGTACGAACCTGATTAAGAAGCCCTGCCTATAAGTCCAATACAGTAGGATTCATAATCAGGAACACAGGCCCAGGTTTCTTAATCAGGTTCCTACATTCAACCGTAGCTACCCACCTGCGCTCTCAACCCCACACCTCAAAAACCAATCCGAAGAGCCTCCTAAACTCTACCAAGCTCTACCTTAACCCCGAATAGAATACCTTTTGAGGGCTCCTCATCGAGATTTCCTTGTAAATGTCCCTACAACGGCGGGAGACGGCAGACCCTAAACCCTAAACCCTATGCTGCACACCTTTTTTACCGAAGCTCGGGGCTGAATTCTGGATTCTACACCGTCACGGGGCTTAATGTAGGAACCTGATTAAGAAACCTTGGGCCTGTATTAGGGTTCCTTATATGTATCCTACTACTTTGGGGGTATAGGCCCAGGGTTTCTTACTTAAGAAGGCAGGTTATGTGGGGTTAAGGTAGAGCTTGGTGGCAGCTTTGGCTGTAGATCAAGCGAGACCCCAATTACGTGAGACCCAAAACCTTTAACTCCTAATGTAGGAACCTGCTTCAGAAACCTTGAGCCTTTATTCGGGTTCCTTGTATGAATCCTACTATTTGGGGGCTAGTTTCTTAATCAGGTTCCTACATTAACCCGAAACCCTAAACCCTAGTCATCAAACCTTAAATCCGAAACCCTGAACCCTAAATAAACCCTTAAAGCCAAACAACATAAGTCCTATCCAGAAGCGCCATATCCCGTTTTACTGGTACATTGGTTGCTCTAGGTAAGCCGTAAACCTTAAGACCTGAGACCCTATTTCCTTTGCTCGCTGACCGAAACAAGCGACGCTTTTGTCTTAGAGTTTCGGGCTCACGGGAATCCCGGAACCCTAGGCCCTGATCAGGACCTCATCCCCAAAGTCTAATCCCCAAGCCGTAAACCCGAAAAGCCAAACAACATAAGTACGAATGCTTTCAAGCATCGGTTGGTCGCAGATTCGAGCGATTTTGGCCGAAGCCTTCGTTGTGGCCTTGTGGAAAGCTCTGGGTGTGGGATTTAAGGATTTAGGGCTTGGGGGTAGGGTTGTGGTTTCGTGGCT